GAGGTTCTTATCAATTGATACGCACTGGATAACAAAGCAATTGTACTTCGATACGGTCTCAATCGTTAAGTACTTGCTGCTGAAATTCCAACTGCTTTTGATGAAATGTGTGGCAGGGGAGAGATTTCAAATAGAGCCCTAACTTGCCTTGAAAATTAACAAATTATGCAGCAGTTTTGGCTGACACTCCTTGGAATTAAGATATTTTATTTTACTTTTTCTTCTTTTACTACCAAGCACTCCAAAAATCCCATTTAAAACCCGCTCCGATCGCTTCGATAATTGAAATTTTAGCACATTAACGTAGTGTCGATTATGAATGCAATCAGAACCGTGTCAGCCTGCCGCTTGGTGAGAAATGCTGCCGACATTTGTCAATTTGTAGCCCGCAAATCCCACTCCACGCTGATATGGAAATACTCGTACATTCCCCATTGCCCGCTGATTTTGTTGTTATATTTATGTGCAGTATATTTTATGCATTTTCACGCTGCCAGTCAAATGACAAACTCTAATTGCAAACGGGACAGATTTTAATGAGTGCAACACACAGCCCCACACCACAGCCACAAATGTCCCTAAAGTGCATGCGGGTGTACAGTGCGGTGTCGGCAAGCTAAAATTGTGAAATGCAAATGAAAATATATACAACATTTCATCGAATGATATTCTATAAAGAATGAATTTCATTCGGTATTATGATCGGAATTTATCTTAAGTAATTTACACCTTTTTTTGCACCACAAACTAAAATGCTATAGAATGATTCTTCTTTATGATCTTGTAGTTAGCTTATTGGTAAATACTTTGATCCTTATGCCCAACTTTCATATCGTAAGGCGCACTATCTCTATGGCTCGGCACTGTATGTTTTCATATTGAAGTTTCCATATATATTTTTGTACCATTTTTATTTTGTTTTGCTGGATTTTGCTTTATTCAACTTGACAGGTGAAGTGAGTGTGAATATTTTTTTTAGGTCACAAAACAGCAACAAGCGCACAGTCCACCTCCAAATGGAAGTGCAGCTTCAAACTCCTGTCCCTCCATCCAAATGGTACTCCGCCCCATCAGGCAGTCGGACTCTCTGCAACTCTTGCTGCTACCTGCTCGGAAAAAGCACACACACACAGCGAGAGAGAGAGAGAGGGAAAAAACACCTGAAAAAAGGTGCAAAAAGAAAACCAGAAATGGTTCGAATGCTTTTCCATCCTGTTTGGAATTGGGCTTGGATTGCGGCCAGGGGGGTGTGGGTTGGGTCTTCGGGAAATTGCAGTCAACATTTATTTCCGCAGTATGATGGAAAATTTCGAAAATAATTTGCGAGCCATAATTAAAAGGCGACAGCAGGAAAAATTGAGACAGAAACTGTGGGGAAAAACTAGAAAAAAGTTCGCCAGAAAAAGGCAGGGGTGGAAACAAGTGGCAGGGGGTGGAGGAGCTATAGAGAGTCGTCCCTCGAATGTCCTCAATCCGCTGGGGTCATAAACAATTCCATGGCATAGACGGCTTTTCGATTTTCGCCTCAATTGGCAACATATGGCGAGCAGACTCCCAAGGAGGAGGCCAAACACACACACACACACACACACACACACACCAAAGGCAGAGGCAGGTCCTTTGAGAGACTGCAGGGGGTACGTGGCTTCCTCCCACTCCCAATGTGGGCGGGGCGGTGCCGCATTTGCATTTGTGACTGCGAATTGCGAATGCGAAAATTTAAAGTTTCCCGATAAGAGGGTTGTAAAAGTACAACAAAAAGCGTATCGGAGCGGTAGAGTCCTCGGGACGCAAAAAAATGGCGACGTTTGCGAGGAAAGGAACACGAAAAGGGCGGCAGACAAAAGACGAAGACGCAGCGCACGGAGGCAGCAAACAAGAAAAATCGCTGCAGGGAAAGTGGCAGGAGAGTTGGAAGGGGAAAGGGAGAATGGCTGGAGTGCTGGGGGTGCTAGGGTTCTAGTAGGTGATGGGCAAAAGTGAAGGATGTGCTGGGGGCTGTCGGGGGGAGGTCGACGATAGAACTTTACTCATACGACTTTTTCGCATTGTAGAGCGCGCGGCATTTGCCAGAAGGTGCCAACACATTTTATTGCTTGTACACTACGGCGAGAAAGGGTCTGTGGAATTTTGGATTACGTTTGGATGCTGCTTGATAAAACTTCAGCTGGTCTTTATCTTTGAATAATAATCTTTCCATTTGAATTTCAATCTGTTTACTTCCATTTCCATTCATTACGGGCCCTGCACATCTCTCCCAGTGTGGCTTAGCAGCATATTCAATATTTATCATATTTATTTAAAGCCTCTTCATATCTCTCCCAGTGTGGCTTAGCATCATTGTGTTTGGTTTCATGTCCAGCATACGCAATTTCAATTATATTCTCTACAGTTTTATCAGCGATATAACGCAGCTTTATTTAGATTTATAGGCATACTTTACAGTCCCTTACTATTCTGTTTTGTGGCCAATATAAATACTCCCAATACTTGCTCCAAAATTGCATTCCATTCGCATTCCCTGTACCTATTTAGGGTATACATTTTACGACTTTGTAGAGCAATGTTCTCCTTTTCGTGTTTTATTGTTCGACATTTCCCCCTTCAGCGCACGTTCCCATCATCTGTTGTTGCAGAGAGTGGTCGGGGGTGATGTTTGTGCCACAGCACGCTCCATGCTTCAGTTCTACGACTCCGCAGTTTGGCAGTTCTCCTTCTCTCTCTCTCTCTCTCTCTCTGTGTATCGCACATGTCTCTATCTATAAAACGTCAACTTCATTTGCCCAACTGAGGCACAAAAATAACCATGCCATGCCGTGCCACATGTAGCATCCCCCATACCCATACCCATTCGTGTGGCAGCCACCCTCCCAGTGTTAGCAATAAAACCAGCTGTCAATTTGTTTATATTATAAAAAATAATTAGTCTGTATTCAGCGCCGAAGTCGACGACTCCATCATATTTCTATATATGTTGCATGTTGCATGTTGCATGTTGAATGTGTGTGTGTGTGTGTGCAGGCTGCAAATTGCAATTTGGGTTTTGGAAAGAAGGTAGATAGGTTTCATGTGTGTGTGTGTGTGTGTGTGTGTGTGTGTGTTTTAGGGGTTTTAGGTGATTATATCGTATGAAATTTGAAAGCATAGCGAGTGGGTAGAGTTATGTTTTGTTAGGGTTGGGGCTGAGGATTTGTCAGTGATTAATTATGTACGCTCGATAAGTGGAATAATAATTGTATGGATAATGGATAATGCAATATAATTAGTGTTGGACATTTTTGTCCTTGGATGTACGATGTTGTGTGGCTGTGAATGATGACTTAAATGCTTCTTGGATGATCCACACAAAAATGAAGAATTTAGCTATATATATTCCCGTAGGTGCTGCATACCTTGAGGCGCTTTTTACGCATACATTTATAAATATTATAATAATATGCATAATGTTGTGTAATTTATAGAATATGCCTTAAAATCCATCCATCCAAATCGCTTATACAATATCTATATCTCTGATAAATATATACTATATAATATATATTGATTTATTTTTTGTTGAATTTTCTCATTGTTTTTTTTCTTTCTTTTCGTTCGTTTTGTAACATAGTTTATTTAGGCAAAAATGGCAACAAAATTGTATGTTTAACATTTGTCTACTTTTCGCAAAAACCTTTCCTCTCCTTACCACCTTATAGTCAGTGTGTGTTCTTGTCTTTGTTTTTGGTTTTTGGGTTTTGGTTTGGTTTTGGTTTAAGTAGTTGTTTGTGTATAACTTTAGCTAACTAACAATTAATTTAAACATTTTGTGTAACTTATAATTGGCAATAAATCGTTTGAATAAGCAAACATTCAACATTTAGCAATACTTATGCGATATCTGATAACCCAAAACTAAAACAATAAATAGCTATATATGATATATCGTGTATGTATATATATATATTGTAGATGTTGTATGTATATAGATGTATCTCTGCATTGTAAAGTCATAGTGATTGTAGCCTGATTATGTAGATGTATTTATATATTTGATGTACCTTTTTTATAGATACAGTTTTGGGTTACTCTTGGCTTGGGATACTCCATACAATTTGTTGTATTCTGTTTCATATGCCCAAGTATTTGCGTCGTACCCCAATTTTGCTAGCTGGCAACTTAAAAGATACTTTTTAAAGCCCCGTTTGAACTTATGCGTGTATTTAGTGAGTGAATGAGTCGAGTGTGTCGAGTGATTTGAGTGATTTGAGTGATTGATTCGATTGGTTTATAAAGCATATACAGCGCGTTGCGAAACTATAAGTCAGCTGATGATTTTAGAAGTGATGAAATGGAAGACTTTCATGGCTGTAAGATTTAAATATCTTAAAAAAATAACATTCGGAAAAATATATTCTCAAGATAAATAAAAGTCCGAAAATAAATAAATTTTTATAAAGAATATTTTTCTATGTTATGAAAACATTTTCAGATATGGAAACTTCCTGCCTAAAAACATTATAAATTGATAAGATTTTCTTTTAAATTGATTTTAAGAACCGATTTTGATAGATTTGAACTGAGGCTGAGTTTTTCATAATATTTTTCCCTAAGTTTTAGGGCCAATTTAAGATTCATCCCCTATGATATGATTAGTACTAATTTGAGGCTCTTGCAAGGGAATTGTGTATGAAAAATTTGCAAACTGATGGACTCCCAGCCAGCATGGAAACTCACCGAGTGTTCGCTGCTGACTTATAGCTGCGTCACGCACTGTAGTTATGTTATTTATCCTTTTAATATTATAGTTAAGGTAGTTGCTTGGGTTAGTTATTAGATTACTTAAAAATTGTGTGTGTTTACTTTTATTTTGCATTTTTCCTTGTCTTGTGTGGCAGCCGTCGCCTAGTAAAATTTAATCAGTCGCTATCAAAAGATCCACCAAAGGTCTGTGTCTCTTCCTCCTACTTTTCCACTTGTCCTAAATGTTTATGATATTGTTCTTTGCTTATTTTTGTTGTGTGTGTTTTTTTTTTGGCCATTTGAATGCTGGACTTAGCTCTGGTTTCCTTTTGGTGGGTGATTGGACTGGTCCTCATTCTCCTGTTGCTGCTGCTGCTGCTCTGCTTCCTAGAAATCACTGATTTCACCCTCAGTCTCTGGATATGTGCAGGAGAAGGGTGTGAGCAGCCAGTTGCAGAGGCCCTTGTTGCCCTCATGGCGATGCCGATGCTTCTTGTGGCCGCCACCATGGACATGCCGCTGATAGTTACCCGTGCAGGCGCCTCCTCCAGCAGCTGTTACTCCCCCGCCTGATATGGTGATGCGATGTCGCTGTCCCTTGGACATGCCCGAGGCGAAGCTGCTCTCGTCCGAGTCCCGCACTGTGGCCACACTGTGGTAGCCGCTCTCCGCCCGCCGCGAGATGCCCGAGTGCTTCGATGTCCGCGGCGTGGAGTTGGAATCATGGCCGCTGTCGTACGCCTCGGAGCTGGTGTTCAGCGGCAGCAGTGGCAGCCTCGACTGTGCCGCCAGCGGCAGGATATTCGTAATCTCATTGAGCTTATGCTGGGCATCCTCCAAGGAGTTTCGTTTACCCACCGCCGCAGCCATGGCCTTCTCGTCCAGCTCGCAGATGTCATCGTGCTGCGGGGCGAAACGTTTCTCGCTTTTGGGCAGACTCGGATCGGAGGCGCCGTCCGGCTGGCGCAGCAAGGCGTAGTCGTCCATGCCCGCAATCTCCATGATGCCATTCAGACTCGGCAGCGATCCCTGGCTGGGGCTGTGCGACGGCTGCTTGGGCGGACTCGGTGTCAGGCGGTAGGCGGGCTCGCTGCAGACGCTGCTCTGACCCACATTGAAGCGGAACACGGGCTCGCTGAACACGCTGCTCACGTCCGTGCGGAAGAGCGCGGCGGAGGGCGTGACCTCGGCCATGGCCAGTTGGGAGGTGAAGATCTCGTGGAGGCGTGCCAGTTGATCGAACTGATGTCTGGAGGGAGGAGAAATGGGAGCATAAAGGAGGGGAAACAGTTTTGTGGAGGCAAAAAGGGATGCTTGAAGGATAAGTGACTGAGTTTTCGACTTACCTTGCTCTCTCGCCGCACTCGCTGAACGACTCACAAGCCATATTGAAGCTGGACACAAAGGAGAGATTATCGCAGTGGCTCAGAGCCGAAAGTGGATGCATTGAATGCTCATGTTCCCTCATGGCCATGGTGCGTGCAATCTCCTCCTCTGTCACCTGCAGACCACAATCGATGCTGCGCTGTGAGGAGGGACGATGATGTTGCTGATGATGATGCGAGGAGGAAGCGCGACTATCAGCTTCGTGCAGCTGTTCCCTTGACACGTGTCGCGAGAGCATGCGATGCAGGCTGTCGTGCGAGATGTCCCTGGAGCCCAATGGATCGTCGAACAGCGGCAGAGCGGGTGGCACCTCCGAGGGACCGCTATCCTGATCCTCATCGCCATCCGGCGGCAGCGCCATGTCCTGGGGCAAACTCTCGTGGCACTGCTGTGGCAGATCCAACGATTGTTCGGGAAGGAATGCGGGTCTATCGGGTAGGTCCAGGGATTTCTGCTTCAGCTGCGAGAGCTTCCAATGCAGCGCCGTGGGGGAATTGCTTGCCGATGCCGTGGCTGGACACTGGAAGACCTGCGACGTTTGCGTCTCCACCCACTGCCGGATCATGGTCTTTTTGTGCGAGTCCATGAAGCCATAGCCCTGCGTTTGGGCACCAGTTGCCGGCAGATTTCCCGCTGTAAGGGATCGACAGGACAGAGATTTGGGTCCATCCACCCACGTTTCGCACTGCTTTACGTGATTCACTTCGCGCATCAGATGCCGCGCCTCCGCCACCTTGGCTCTGGATACACGTGGTCCATCGATCCACTGCTCCTCCGTAATCTTTCTCATGCCAGCTTCAAGTTGTTCCAAGGCTGCGCCTGGATGTGCTCCAGCATGCGCTCTGCGTAGAGGAGAGCCCTTGGGCGATGGCACATTGGAGCCCTTGGACACCATATGTCTGGGTATGGGTATTGGCGATCCATGTGCAAGTTGCGGCTGCTCGTGCGGCACCAAAGGCGAGGAGCAAGCTCCTGCACCTGCCTGACGTTTCAGGCTGCCCATGGGACTATTTCCGGGCAGCTTTTTGACTACAAGAAAGGAAGAAAAATGTGAAAAAAATATTACAAATCGAAGACTAGAAGAGCTCTTGGAAATTCTCATTATGGGAGAGAGTTTTATCGTCGTTGGGTTTATATTTTCGATGCTTACCCTTATCCCCGGCTGCTGCCATTGCCTTCTTCATCATCATGGGACTGGACAGACCCGCCTTCATCTGCGTTGGCGGCTTCTCCAGGCCACTGCCCTTGAGGGCCTTGCTCATTATGGCGCGATTGTCGCCTGCACTGAGCGATGGCAGATACACAGGCGGATGTTCCCCGTCGGTGGCATCGTCATTGGGTCCCATATAGATGACCGTATCGGCGGAGATTTCAGAGCTGGAAGGATCCGCACCAGAGCCAGCTGAGGAGCCGCCGCTGAGGCCTTGGGCGAGGCCCACGGCCAGGGGCATGGGCACGCGGTGCTTGCGGCGTCGCAGGCGATGGATGCGCGAGGCAATCTGGATGGTGGAGAGGGCATCCTGGTAGCTCTGGTCGTGCAGGACATGGGCCACAATCGCCACGTGGCAGGTGATGGGCGCCAGGCAGTCCTTGAGCAGTGGCGTCAGTGGGTGGTCCTTGTGCGGCGGATGCCTCTGACCCGATAATATGGCCAGCAGTATGTTGCCGATGCCCGACAGGGGTAAGCCCCCGCTGCGATTGGCACAGCCGCCCAAGTCGATGATATGTAAACGGCTCCGACCGCCAGCCACTGTAAATCACAAAAAAATAAAGACGGGAATTGGGACTCAGTGGGGTGTGGGTGTGGGTGTGGGATTGGGATTGGGATTGGAGTGCCAAGGAGTTCGTGTTGGAGTAGGAAATGCGACACTTTAATGGTGCTGTTGCCTCCCCGTCTAGTGCCAGTCAAGCATTTAGCGGGCCACTTGAGTGGCAACAGCAGCAACAACAGCAACAAGAATTGAGTGTGGCAGCCACCACTTCACCACTCCAGCACAATCCTGCAACACAGCAACCTCCAACCCACAACCCACAAAGGGCTACAATAAAAATGTCCGACATTCGGTGACCGAAACTTTGAATACCCTTGCCGGTCGCTGATTTAGAATTTCTGAATATTTGACTAAACATTTTTTTGCTTTTGTTTTTTATAATGAGTTATTTTTAAATGTTTTATTTTTGAAATAGAAACAAGAGTTGTAAATGATTTCTTTATATTCTTTTTAAAAATTAATTGTTGTTGTTTTTTTTGAAATAAAAGTCACGGAATAACTCTTATTTACAACTTTGAATATAAAAATCAAAAGTAATTGTTTTTATATTTATTAAAAACATCATAAAAAACTGTTATTTGTTATTTTAAAAATTTAAATATAAAATATAACTTTTCCGTATCATTCATGTTGCTGTGACAGATTCCCTTCACATTTATTTATTTACTTTAAATTATCATTCAAAATTCTTATTTGCGGTCCCTGATTATTTTCGAAGATTTGGTTTAGATTGAAAGAATATTCTTACAGTTCGAAATTGGTTAATTCATCTTTTAGAATTCATAAATACTCTCGGCAAGGGTAAGGGTAAGGGTAAGGGTATTTGGTGATGTGAAACAATAAGGTAGACACTTACCACCCCCCTTGCGGGACAAGCTGTACTGGTAGACATGCAGCGTAAAGATGAGGGCGGACTCCAAGGGGGCCGTGGAAGTAGAACCGGAACTTTTTAAGCGTCCGGCCAGAGCAGAGTCGAGGAAAAGCGCCGCACGCTCCGCGGTGGGTGCACGTAGTTCCGTTGGACCGCCAAGGAAGTCGTCACGCAAATAAATCCCCGGGGAGTCGTCAGATTCTGTGTAGTAGCCAGAGGAGCAGGAGCAGCCGAGTAGCAGGAGTTTTGCGATGGAGTCCAGAGTAAGACAAAGACCGAGACGTAGATGTGGTGGGGAGTGAATGAAAAGGACATTAGGTTTTTATGTTGGAATAAACGCCACATTCTATGAGCACTGCCAGGGGACGACTGAGAACCAGGCAACAGGAGGAGAGGCAGGAGGTGGAGTTGGAGTTGGAGGTAATGGGAGGTAAGTGGGTGAGGCTTGGGGCATGAGGAACACTGGTTCGTTCACAGGTTAAGTTTATTCAAATTGTGCCAGTTACGACGGGTACGACCCGACCCCAGTCATCATCATCATCGCCATTCGCCATTCGCCATGGCCCAGGGGCAACATTACAACACGCCCCCTCAATGTCCATTCATTGTGCCCCCCCAACCCACCAAAGGCTGGTGGCAGCAAACAGGTGGCATGAGAACTGAGTACCCCCACGCCCCGACAGCCACTATCTCTGTCGGTGCCCCCTTGTGCCCCATCCATCTGCTTACCAGCCGCATGCGAGATGAGCAAATCCGTGGAGAGTGCATCCGGTTTGGTGGCACTGACGCCCACAGCGCTAACGCGCACTGAGAATCGAGCGCCGCTCTTCTGCCGCCGCTCCTGTATGCCCTTGTAGAGCCAGGCAATGGCACAGGGGGCGGCGCCCAGAGAAAATGCCGCCCCACTTGCCACATCGCCACCCAGCACCGTGTGCTGCTGTCCAGTGGAGGGGTAGCCCATGGCCAGCAGGCAGCCATCGGAACCCTCCAGTACCGCGGGAATTACTTCGCTGAGGGCCGATGCACACACATCCGACTGAAATGGTTGTAGAGTAAGGGGAAAGTGGGGTTTAGAGAGTAAAGAATGGAATGGAATGGAATGGATTGGGGGAAGGGGCTCGTTCTACCCCTAATGTGGGGTCTGATTGAGGGTTAATTCGATTATTCGATTGCTGATTATAACTACAACTCGTACATTTCGGGTGGGGTAGATTATATCTTTTAATTCGATTTGATTGGGATATTAGTTGTAGTTTGAGGGATCGTCTGATGAGTGATGACACTTCACGGGTCATAAACCTCATGAATGGATGTTGGGTTTGAGGAAATAATGGATGCTATGAATCGTTATACTGCAATGTTTCTAGCAATATTTGGGACTGCTTTTGGGTGGGAATGCCATTATTCATGAACCTCTCTGGAAACTTTTCCCATTCAACTTTAGAAATTTGCTGTTCTACTATTTTAAACTATTTTCTATGTCTAAAGCTCTTTCTTTTTGATTCACAGATATGGAAATGACCTCATGTGGAATTTCAATGTGAGTAAAATCGAAGGATTTATTTTCTGGTTACGTATTATTTGAGAATTTATATTATCCCAATAAATTTGTGTATTTAAAATGTTTTCATTCCTCGACAGTAACGAGAACTTTATTTTCTGTTACTTAGAATCTGAACAGATCTTTCCGTAGGAGTTCGGTCGGTCCATTGCCAAGATTCTCAGCGCTAACTCTCAACGGAAACTAATCTCAAAATATTTCTTTTGATTATTGAAAATCTTTTGAACAATTTATTATATTTTGTGGGTAGCCTTTCTCCGTTTTGCTTTGCTCGTGGTGCAACTATTCTCAAACAAAACAATTTATGCGATATTTAGGAACTTAAACCAAAACATAAACTATTCCATCACACTTAGAAAAGTTTCTCAATATATTTCTAAAAGTTCTAACCACCGTGCCTGCCGTTCTAACACTCACCTGTTTATCCTCTGCGGTGAAGAGATTATCGAATGCAAACATTTTGGGTGCGGCCACCATGGGTCCTCGCTCCTGTGCAGCCTGCGGGGGCGGACACACATTACGGGGATCGGTGAGCGTCACCTGGCGCTTCTTCTTGTCCAGCGCCATAAATTCGGGCTCTCCGTTGGAGTCCTTGTCCGGCGCTCTGTCGGAGACGCGCAGCATAACCTTCACTTTCCCCACGCCGTAGCATTCGCGGCTGCTAAGTCGTCGCGCTAGACCCGGCGGCATGGGCGGTGGTGCGCGTTGCAGTGCACCGCAGAAGCCGCCGTTCCGGGAGATGCTAGAGGCCATGGCTGGTGCTGCTGCTACAGCTACTGCTGCTGCTGCTCCTGTTCGTCCTTGGTTTGTGGATGCCACAGTTGTGGAAGTTTATGGCTGGAAGCACTTTGGTTTCCTTTTGGATTTGGAGCGGAATAAAATTGGGAGTTAATAAGAATCCCAAATGATTGGACGCCACATCCCCAGAGTTTCCGTTTTTACGACAGGGATCTCGCAAGGCAATCCTCAATTTCTACACACACATTTTGTTTGCTTTATATCTTTGGCAAAAGATTTTATGGCTCTTTAAATAGTTTAGCTAGCATCGAGAGTTTTGTGTCCCGTCATAAATTGCGATTTCGGCTACGGGCCAATGGGCATAAGTTATTTGAACCAAATAAACCCCCAAATAGAAGGGTCTCCCTCACGCCTTGGTAATGGTCATAACACTTTCTCTTTATGGTTATGGGCCATCTGTTTATTTGGCATATGCTTCACTGTACTATCATCACTTTCCACTATCATTGGGCACAGGCACAGGCCACACTGTCACTGTCACTGTCACTTAGTTGTGCCTCTAAGCTTGTGTTTTATTCACTTGTAGCATCTTGTGCATAAACTCCAGATTTATGTTGAATTTGTTTAGGGTTTTTATGTGCTTTTATTAGGCAAATTATACGCTTGGCCATCTTCAAGGGTCCTCCGGCGGACTGTTATCTTTTCTCATATTTTATGTCATTATAATGTTGCGTTTCAGCTTTATTTGTACAAACTTTCTTGTAAATTAATTTATTTGGGGACTGTTTTTGTGTGGGGTTTTGGGGTCGTCTTTCTTTTCAAATTGTATTTTTATAGCCGGTACTTAAAAGAGAAATTTCATTCTATAAAAGGCAGAAGGAAGCACTTTTGAGAGCTCTATGAATTTTACACAAGACTCTTCCAAGTAAAGATCCGTTTTAAACATACTTAAAACTTTGCTCCCAAACAATTCTATGTTTTCTCCCTTTTCAAAGTAATCCATGGACTAATCGAACTTGTTCAATAGTCTAACAATAGTCTTATAATATTTGTAAAATTAATTTTTATAAATATTCATTTAAATTTTTTTAGAATGAATCTTTTTCCTTTAACATTTCTGTGTGATTTTCCCATCTTCAAAGAATACTTTTTGCTATCATTATCGTGTAATCCAACTTAAATATGTTTTTCCCATGTAAATTCCTTTGGACTTTCTGTCATCTTCTCCTGCTCTCTGCCCTGTCAGTTCTTCTGCTGGGGGGGCCGTGACATTTCTTCAATGCCTTCATTATTATTTCAATTTGAGTGGGGAACGTGACATTTTTGCAACGTCTTTCATTAATATTGTCCCTACCCCATAGACATTGTAGCTAGTCCTGCTCCTTCCCCACTCCCTGCTCTGGCCTATGCCCCCATTCCTTTCCTTCCCTCCTTCCTCCTTTTCCATTTCCCATTCTCTGGCTGTGCTACGAGTAGTATTGCCTTCCTTCGTGAATGACAGGCAACAACTTGGGTTTGGGTTCAACTTCATTTTTCAGACTACACCTGCCACAACCTCTGCGAGGACTTTTTTTGTTTGCTCTCTTTCTGCTGCTCCTGCTTCTTGCTCCTTCTACCTTTTTGCCCCTTCCTTCAGTAGCCGCTTTTTGGCTTAACTTCGTTTTGTTTTGGAACTGTCCACCTTTTGAGTTTTAGCTTTGGGCTTTTCACACAAATCGATTGGCAATGCCTTCTAATTGTACAGCGCGACCGACGACGCACAATGGTGCGGGGGGGTTGGCTGTCAGTCAGCGGGTGGGAGGGGAGGTGAAGTCTCTCTTTGGCACAACACACACACACACAAACAGAAACAACGGGCAGCTCACTCACGCTAACGGTATAACAAACACAAACCCTTTTTTTATGACTGGCAATTTCTTGTTGCTGTTGATTTCATCTTTGGCTTTTGCGATATTCGGTTTCGCTTAAACATGATTTACACTGTACTACACACGCATCCAACACATCCAAGCTCTTCTCCGACTTTTGCTTCGATTTGTTGTTGATGTTGTTGTTGTTGGTTCATCCACTCATTCACGCGACGCGAACGACGCCAGTCGCGTGTCGTTTCCGTTGGCATTACAATGGCAACTGCCGTTAGACGCGTTGGCTGAAGTTTTGATGCAAAGAGCCCCACGTTTTAGGGCGCGCGCTCTCTCTGTTTTTGGTTGCGCACGCGTGCGAGAAAGGAGTAGAGCAAGCGTTAGCAGAGTGTTGTGTTTGCTGGCAATGCCTCAGCCAAGGGTGGACTTTGGAAAGTACTTTCAATATGAGGTAGGGCAAGACAAGATTCATTACCGGTGCCATCTTCCTAAATCATTCATCTGCTATTGTGTAGCATACACATTTTTATCGTATCAATTAATGCATTTTAGCATTCTATGTTTAAACAAAAAAGAAGACAAATCATGTTCCCCTTGAATATCTGGGAATACCTTTTAATAATAGACCTTGCTTCACGCTGAATTTCTCACGCTCTTTTGAGTTTGTTCTTTGATTTCATCAGGTTTGTTCTTTGATTTTGAAAGCTCTTCGGCTCTTGCTCTTGCTTCTTTCACACTCTTTTTGCCCTTTCTTTTCCGCTCTCCGGCTTTGCGCTCTCAACCTGTAAATTCAGCCTTCTCTTTGGGAGTGTTTTTCTCTTTCTTCTTTTAATGCTTGAAGCATTAAGGCTCAGGTAAACAAAATCAGCGGGGCTTAAACAAAAGGAACATCGCAAATGATGTTTATATTGTAGACATCCACAAGAAGCGTCACAGAACAACAACAACAAAAATGAAGGAAAAAAGAATTAGAAAGCACACTCTCACACGTGCACTCTCTCACAATGATAGTTGTTGCTGTTGGAATGATGGCTGCTGGAGCGTCACTTAAGTGCCGCTTGGTGATGTTGCATGGCAGCCAGCATGTAGGATGGTGGATGGGGGGATGGAGTGGGGAGTATGGAGTGTGGGCCCTGGCATGGATGAGTGTTGTGCGAGGAGTATAGGTGGAGAGGTGGGCACAAATGCAAACGATGTGTTTTTAAGTCCGCTTACATTTTGGGAGGCCCGTGAAGGAGGCTCTTCGAGTGAGTGTGTGTGTTTTCTGGATGTTAGTGTTTGTTTGATTGTATTTAAAAGGATGTGGATGCAAGCATATACATACGTGGGGTGGATTGGAGTGGGAATGGAGTGCGTCCAAGGGCTTACCTTTATTTCTGTTCCGTTGGAGCTGTCCTTTCGAACGTCTCAATTATAATGGACAGACCATAAAAACGATGAGAGATAACATTACCCAAAGAGGAATTTTGCACTTGAGTACATACCGAACCTTTTTGGCAAAAGTAAAGCCTACCTACAAAGGGAAAGAATATGAAGTTTAATAGATTTCAAAAGTAATTCCTACAAAAAATTACAGGTGGAAAAGAGTCATGTATGGGCAATTATACACTAATTAACATACAAATTCCGGAAGCTAAACGAAATGCGCTTTTCCGCATAAAACAAATCACATTTTATGTAAGCCCAAAAGCCAAAAGGCAACAAAATAACAACAGCATCAGAAAGCAAAGCAAACAAAGTCCAAGTGAATGGAGATAAGCAGTTTTTGAAGCATTGCACGGCTGCTGTTACAGTTTGAAAGCTTGCATAAAAGCTCCATCTGTTGGTCTGGCTTTGGGCTTTGAATGAGGTGGCAGCGCCAGGAACGTTGCATTTTGAAATTGAAGTTTTAATGGAAACTAATGCATTAAGTAGCTGAAGGAAATATTAGGATAACAAAGAGAAAACTTTCAGGGACCAAAAATAAGTTACAAAAATTATTGTTTATACTGATAATTCGTTAAACTTTTATTTAGCCATTGATGTTATCGTTTTCTAAGATATACATATCATACTTGAGTATCATTATTAATCGTTTCATTCATTTTTTTGTTGTAATTTTTTGTCGATTTCTGTCTTTTGTGCAAAACAACAGCAGCAGCAATGTCTGGAAACTTGTCTCGTTTGTTGTTCGAATTTGCCTAGTGGGAAATGCATTTGTGATAAATCAAGTATCGGTAACTGATCGATATTGCTATCGATAACTAAGGCTAGTTCGCAGTGGTGATCGAGTGTGAGTGTGTGTATAACGCATCTTTCTTTTTGCTTAAAGACCTAAAACACTTAAGACTAAACAAAAACTTTGAAACAAACAGCCTAGATGGGAAACGTTCTCATACAGATCTAGGTGTTAAGAAACAACTTCAGAGGTAAAAAATTACACAAGAAACAAACAAGAATGGGGAAGAGAACAGATGATGGAATGGGGGGAGTCCCTTCGTTGTTTGTAAGTAAACTTTGTCACACGTTATATTCTCGAGAGTTCCTCGAGATTTCCAGAGCAAAAATATTATAGATACGGTGTAATGGGATTGCCATGAGCTGGGATTGAGATTCGGCTTGTGCGGGATGTTGAATGTTCCACTTAGTGCGATGGTGCGCCATAGGAGCTGCTGGGAGCGGATGGTGCTGGTGGTCCAGCCGGGGCACCGTACTCGGGTGCTGGAGGCGCCACACTGTTGGGATAGGGTCCGGTCTCCTCCTTCTGGGTCTTGTAGCGGATGAAGTACACCTCCGGCTTGCTGGGCTGTGTGGGCGCCGGCGTCGGGATAATGATCTCGGGCTGCTCCTCAGGCTTCTTCACCAGAACATAGACCAGTGTCTTCTCCTCGTTCTGTGGATATTGCGGAATGATGGGTGCAGTGGGTGCGGGCGCGGATGGCGCCTTGATGAACACAATCTTGTAGTGCTTCTGTGGTGGTGGCACGTACAGAGGTTTCCTGACATAAACAAAGAGAAAGGAGCATGAGAGACGAGTATGCAAATGTGTGTTGCCCATAAATGGTGACCCCTAAAAAGATGCAGCTGCTGTTTCTGTAATCAGATGATAATAACGACAACGACTGTCACAATTAGGGCTTACATAAGGCGGTCTGTCTTCAGTGCTCTGGTACTCCCTTTGGTACTATGGTAATTGAGGGACTTGTCTGATAATTAACTTGGAAAATCCACACAGAGAGGGAGAGAGACGATCCGCTTAGGTAACAATCTTAGTCACGGTTTGGCGGTCTGCGCCGTGATATCATTCCCCCTTTTGGGGTAATTAACATTGCTTTCAACTCCAAAGACGACACAAAAATTGAATTGGAGAAATCCAAAGAGAGAGAGAGAGAGAGAGAGAGGACTAGAGAAAATTGCAGAGAGATTTACTTTGTAGCTTTCCTTTTAGTCTCTCTATTAAAAAGTTTCCTTCTTGAAAATGGGAACTCCTCATACCCTAAACGACTGTCTAAATACCCTTCGAATTCCTTAACGTGTTGCATATGTGTCAACATCTTCAACAAGCAGTCTCGCTGGTTAAGATGATTAGATGCTCCCCGTTTTCGCAACATTTGTCTTGTTGTAACACAAATATAATCGTTGGGATTTGCAAGGTACATTGTGGGCGATGAATTGTGAGAGAATCCGCCATAAGTGGCATGGATTATATGCCCATAACAATGTGAATCTCCTCCAGGCAGTGGATAAGTGGAACACCACAAATAAAGCGAGATCGTTTGGAGTGTCCCATTCCCTTCACATCACGCAATAAGTAATGAAGGGTTTTTGCATATAGGAAAACGTAAAATGGAAAGGGTGGGAGAAAGAGTGTGTGCGATTGTTGCTATGATTTGTTAACACATTTTTGTACTTAAAACTAGTTAAAGGTAAACATCTGCTTGAATGCTTTTATCTTGGAAGAGGGGTACTTTCTTCTGTTCATATTCTGTTTTTTACTTTTTACGAAGATCTTTAAAAGAAGAAAGTTCCTGGGATTTTTTAGCCCAAAAATATGGCTAGCTTGGTTAAAGAAAGAAGAGCTTAGATCTGCCCTTTCCATGTATCTTTTGTTTTTGTTTTTCTGGCTATTAATTTCATACTTAAAGTGGCTAAAGTTAGGACCTACTTGGAGGAGTGAACTTCTTTTAAATTGGTGTAAATATCCTTAAAATATAAGGGCTTCAAATTGAGGTTCTTTCTCCTTGAAGCTGAAACTTGTTAAACTATTATTTAATCTCTTACCTGGGTGCCTGGTACTCTGGCTCTGGTGGTGGCACATGGACGTACACATGCTTATGCACCACTGGCGGCTGCTGTGGTGGTCCGTATTGTGGCGCAGGTGCTCCATAGCCGCCGCTGGGTCCACTCGGCTGGTAGCTGCTCGACGGTGGGGCACTGTACGAGTCACGTGGTGGCTCCGGACGAGCCGCCACCAAGGCGGCTAAGCCCAAGACTATCACTAGCTGCAGAGAGGAAAACAAAATTAGAACACTGAATGAATGCTTTGGGTTCAGCTAGAAGTTATCTGATGGAAGCAGATAGCTCTCGGAGGAGGCTTAACATCAGAAATCACTTCTGATTACATGATTTTCACACACAGATCTAAGTTGGATTCTGTTAGGGATCAGGAACATGCACAGACACACGAATCGACTAAGGATCGATGCTGGATTCAAACGTACCACACAACTGGACTGCATTTTACAGGGAGTTTGTTTGAGTTTATATCCGTTTCTCGGTTCGTTTCGTTTCGTTTCGTTGCGTTGCGTTGCGTTGCGGATTTTGTCACTGGATCGTTTAGGATGGATCTTTGAATGTTGGAGCTCTTAGACGGTGTTGGAGTTGGTTTGACGCGGAACCTCTTACTGCATGCCACAACGATTGTTGCAGTTTCTTTTATAGCAGCGCAGCGCGTGAAATAAAAATTAAGTAAAAATAAAGTCGACGGCAGCGGCAGAGGCAGAGGCAGCCGCGACCGAGACCACGACGACGACGCAGTTTTAGCCGCTGTTAATGTCGCTGCCGCTGTTTCTGCTTTGGCTGCTGTCTCTGTTGGCAAAGAGCACACCGCTTAACCATGAAGCAATTCCAGCAGCAACACAGTTGGAGAGTCATCTCTGGTTGCGCTGCCTCTGTCGCTCCTAGCTGCGACTGCGACTGCGACTGCAGCAGTGGAAGCAGCGACGCCTGCTGACCGTTTCATTGGCTTTTGGTTTTTGCCGTCTCCTCTTCTCCTTCTTTCTGTTTGTTTTTTTGGCACGACAAAGGGTGCTCTGTGTATTCCAAATGCAGTTCAAGGCGAATCCTAGATTCTTTTTAGTTGAGGTCAAGATCATTTAAGTTGCCAAAGGGAAGGGGTTCATTTAATCAGTAGAGCTACACAAAGGAGGTTTCATTTTTGGAAAGTAGCAAAAGAAAAATAATATTTAATAATACCTCATAGAAAATAAACCATTTAGAAACATTAAAATAATTAATTCTGAATTTCGTAAAATTTGTAGTTACAATTTTATTTGTAGTGCGTTTGTTTGGGTAATCCTTTTCTTTTATTAAAACACAACCAAAATGTGGAATTAATGCAAAAGCCTCTCCAACCATAGCCTCGTAAATTTTGCTTGCGGAAAAGTTGGCTTTGGCTTCCTATGTGGAAAATGCTTGCCTATATAGAAAAAAGTATTTTCTAGTCAAAAATGTAGAATATTTTCCATCTGCATCCTACATCTCCCAGCATACATTTACCGCTGAGCGTGTTTCCCCATCGAATTACTGCCAAAAAAAAATACTTGCAGCTCTTTTGTTTTGCTTGTTACAGTATTATTTATAGGAGATTGCAGACATCCATAGTTATTTTTGGTCATTTAGAGGATCCAATCGTAATGTTTTTCTTGCTGCTTCGTAACCAACGTTGGACGCTGGACGCTGGACGAACGCTTTTGCGTTGAATCGGATCGTATCGTATCGTGTCGGATCGTGTAGCACGATTCACTTTCAATTTCAATGAATGTGGATGTGGTGGATTCACTCTCATCTGAAGCTTGTCGAACAGAAGGAGGGGACAAGGAGGAGGGGGCTGCCTGTGCTCTGGACTGGGACTGCGACTGCGACTGCGACAGAGATGGACGTCTGGAGATTGGGAATTGCTGGGGTCTCGGGGATTGGTACTCGAGTCTGGTGTTGGTTTTATTTCATTTCTTCATGCTCTTTTAGTCTTTTGTTTTTTGGTCTTTTTTCTTATTCACTCAACTTCTTTCTGTGTTATGGGGTGCTGTTTGTTATTATTGTTATTGTTACTGTTACTGCTAGTGCGCTGCACTGTTTTGAAGTTATACCCTGGATTTGCGATGCTTGGGGGATATATTTGTGCTGTGAAAACAATCGAAAACATGAGTGCCTCTGGAGTTTGTATAGCATTTCTCTCTATGTCAACTCTATCTCCTATTTACCAATATAATAGGTTAAAAGAAAAACCATGTCTTGGCTGATTAAACGAAGTAGCAGGGTATCACATTTGTCTTGACCATCAATCTCTATCATTCTCTTGTGTTGCTTTTGTAATTGGTGTCCGCATCTTGGCCACGAACCATCATAATGAGCTTCACGCTCTTGTTGGGTTTGTTGGGGCATTTGCCCCATCTGCAACCTTCCATCTCCCTGGCTCCCGAACTCCCAAACATTTCATTTAATGTTTTTTCTTTGCAATATTTTGAATTTTAATTTCTTTAAATTTGTTTTTTTTCCATGTTGTAGCAAATAATTGACACCCCTTTTGGGGTGTACAAATTATGATTAGCAGGAAAATGTTGCAAGCTTCCTGTGTCCTCTGTCCTCTACCTTGCCGTGGATTGGGCAAAGATTTATGGGCATAATCTATAAATGGCAATCATAGTCCGCATTTTGCATTCGTCTCTGCTTCCGATCCTCTGAGTTGAGTTCGTTTCGGGGGAGAGGCGCCACTCCTGGAGCGAAGCTGCTGCCGGAATTTGATGAAATGGCATAATCAGTGTGTGGCCAGCGGCGCCAAACGGAGGAGCCACAGTCCCCAATGATAGTGCAACAGTCAGCCCCCAAGAGACTGTACTGTCACTTTTCCTCGATGGCATCATTTATAATGCCGTTGGCTAAATGGCAACTTTTGTTGATTTTGTTGTTCATCTTCGGTGGGTGCTGGTGCTGGTGATGGTGCTGGTGCTGGTGCCGGTGCCGGTGACTCCTGCAACAGATTGCATTTCCTTAATTTCAACGCTCATCTTTCACATTCAAAATCAACATCATTATCTTCATAATCATCATGCGGGTAAATTATGCTGAATGCAGCAAGCTGGAACAGGTGCAGTTTCAGTTTTAGTTGCAGTTGCAGTACCAGCGGATCCTCAGGCAAAGTCTAATGTTTGTGTTTAAATTTTGTGGCTGCTGCAGGCAGATGCAAATATCTAATGGATATGGGCAGGCATGTGGCAAAATCGAAGCAAAACGAACATGAATTAAAGGATTACACTCCAAAGCTTCATTCTTGACTCCATTTTTGCACTTCCCCAACGATTGTTATCCCACAAATGGCACATCATAGGCCCGTGCACAATTTGCCACTATTTTTAATGAATCTGCTGCTGCCTGCCATTGCCATGCCACAACGATTCTGAGGCATATAATCAACGAGCGAAGCGTCGCGGCATAAATTCATCTTTCTGCTTTCTCCATGGTGCAAATACTAATTATTATATTGTATCTTTTCTTCTGTGTGGACTTTATGTAACACAGAGTTGGAAAAACAAAAACAAAACCAACCAAAAATCCAACAGAGAGCAGCATTTAAATGATATTATATTTACATAAAGAGGCAAAACAATTATGATTATGATTTCGGAACGGAACGGCACTTGGCCTCCCGAGTAGGTACTTAATGGGTTCGCATTGACAGGGAATGGGGGCTTGGTTCGGTTTGGGGATTGGAATGGTGGGTGCCACTTTTCAATCTTTAATTTGTGAAGAGTTGCACTTAAAGTACGTGAAAGTAAATTGAGCTAGATGGGAATCTTTTTCCCACAAAAAGATCTTCAAGAGAGATGTGAAAGATGCCTTGCATAAGACCCTTTGGATGGATCCCCATAGTCTTACGCACATAAATCTTTGAGCAGAGATCTAGTTGAGACTGCACTGAAAATGATTTCTTTATTGTTGTAAGTAATAGCCACGAACGTGAGTTAAACAACAATTAAATGTACATTTATATGGACATAGTAATATGTAATAATAATATAAGTAACGCATATAAACGGGGCCTGCGCTCTTTTGTATATTTTGTATATTTATTATCTCTTTTTCATGTGAAAACCCATTAAAGTTTTTGGGGGCCCATCGTCGTGTGGAGGTCACCACGGCCCAGAGGTTAGTTGGGAGTACTATAATTTATAAATATATATCTTCATGTATGCCCCACCAGCAGCCTTAGCCTTGGGGGCCCATTAAAACTCCAGTAAAATATTTACAATTGACTTTTGCTGCTTCTTTTTTTTGGTTTTTTTAGGGGCAAAAAAAACTTGAAAATCCGCTCTTAACCCTAGACCATAAAGGGCAATACAATACTCGTGTATATATTCGTTTTGTAGGGATTAGGGGATTGGTTTGTTCTACATACATATAGGTACATGCCACGTGCTACATGCTGCATTGTAGGTACATTTTTTGTCGCCTTGGGATTACCCAAAAAGTTTAAAATTATTGTTCTAGCATAGGAACTGCAGTTGTGTCCTTTTATATATTTTTTTGTCATTGTTTTTGTTGTTTTTAGCCGTGTGTTTGTTGGGTATTAACCAGTGTTTATCAGTTGTTGCCTTTTGCATTTAAAACCTTTGAGTGTGTTGATTCGTTTTGGGGGTTGTACCTTTTGGGCGTTGGGCTGCAGGGGGGCACACGAATGGGAATTGAATGTTAAATATGGGAAAAGTTGTGAAACTATTTTACTTCTGTTTTGGGAGACAGTTTAAGGTACTTTACACTCCTTCGAAGTTGTTGTCAGTCCTTGAAGAAAGGTGCAAACTAGCATAAAATGGTTGGAAATGTCTGAGCAGCATTCAAATGTTTCACAGGGGCTTAGAAGTACTTAGCAAGTGGTGCCAAAGGGTGCTCCATTTTCATACATTTGGCTGAGATTTTCACACAATTCCTTTTTGGGTTGCCATGGGATTGTAATCCCTTGACCATTCGCTCCTCCTCATCCAGTTCTCTGTTTAGTGTGCTCTCCCCTAAGTACTCCTCTTACGCCATTCAAAAACTGTTTCATTCACAAAACCATTTGCCCCCCCTGTAGACCCATTCCATTGTCGTCGTCATGGTGTCGTGTGGTCGTCAGGTGCTTGTTGGATTTCCTCTAATAGCGTCCATAGTTGGGTCCCATACGGGGCGCATCGCCGCCCAGCTCGTCCAGGGCGCCCATTGCGCTGAGCTTTTGTAGCCAGGCGGCATTCGAGTTCGAGTTGGATGAGCGTGGATTGTTGTTGGTGTTGGTGCCACTACCGCTGCTGCCGCTGTTGGCCTCATTGTGCAGACGCAAAAGTGGGTGTTGTTGGGGCTGCTGTTGCTGCTGTGGGTCCTCATTGCTCAACTCCAAGATCTGCAAATAGTTGGGCGAGACACAAAGATGGAAAGATGGAAAAGAGTTAAACTTGGAGTGCTGTTATGGTTGTTATAATTATCGTATAGTTGCTGTTGTTAACACGGATCGCCCCTCGAGACAGGGGGTCTTTGATGGTGTCTTATGGCAGTTATTTCAAAAAAAAATCTGTTGAAATCTTATTTATCTCAACGTGGGAAGTTCGTCACACAGTTTTTGTGTGTTCGCTTATTATTTTTGAGTTCATCTTTATGCTTTTTTGTGTATACGCTTGAAGGTAAACAAAAAATAAAAATAGATATTTAAAAAAAAAACAAAAACAAAAATTTTAAAAAATAAAAAAAACCTAAAACAAGTAAATCTTGAATCGGTCAACATTTGTGTGTTTCCGACGATTGGAATTAAATATTCAAATATTAATTAAATTAAATATTTTGTATTTTAAGTTTTTTTTTAAGGCGCCCCTAAATCATTAATTTTATTCTCGCACTTTAAGAGTATTTAAACTTCGCTTTAAATTAATTGTTTCGTTTATTTTCACTCTTTTTGTTTTTAATTTTTAAGTTTTTTGGCGCATCATTAAATCGAATGAACTTTATCTGTAACGAACGGGCTAGCGGGGTCGGCCTCTTCTCTGATGATGAGCTCTGAAAAATATGTGTTAATGGGGGGTATTGTCGTGTAATTATCAGCAATCCGCCAGCCGCGACAACCTCTTTTAATTTTCGGACTACCGCTCGTCGCATCACAACACACCGCTCTGGAGAAGATCATCTCTTTGGTGTATCTCTTTGTATCTTTTGCGAATGCCGAATGATGAGATATGCTGCGATGCTGCCTCTGCTCGTTGATGATGTGTGAAAAAAATCCTAAAACAATTTCGCGCCAAGTAATTATTTTATTGCTAATTTGAAAAAAAAAAAACTCTGAAAAAAAAACCGAAAACCAAAATACCAGTGGATGGTTTTATTTTTGCTATTTTTCGAAGGTTTTCCCTCCCTTTTAACTCCTTTTAAACGCTGATGTTAATGGTTGAGCGGCGGCTCATAAGGAAGCAATAATGGAGGGTTGAGTGAGGAGTTCAGCGATGCTTAGGGTGGGGGTGGTGGCAGCTGGGTGTTTCCTTCACCGCCTCTCTATTTGCTTCTCTCTCTCTCTATCTTTATTAAAGACTCTCCTCTTTGTCTGGCACTTTTTGGACAGTTTAATTTGAGAGTTGTCGTTAAGTGAAAAGTTATGTGATTTCCTTTCGAGTTGTCTGTTGTGCCTCTCCCTTCAGTCACAGCCTCTAAGTCTGTCTGCACATTCCAGCTGTTTCCCCAGGATGGTATTGGAACTGAAGATGGTAGATGGTTAGCAAATAAGCAGCTGCGTTTGGCTTGGGGGGAATGGCTGCTTATTGCTTAGGGGCGGCTATCTTTGGGTAATAACTTTAGATGGGTTTTGCAGCAGGGGGAACTATAGACAGAGGCATTTTTGTGTGACAAGTGTGGAATCAATTTTGCAATTAAGTGTTGGCAAATACTTTTGCAACTGCCAGAGCCAAGAATTTACGATTTTGGTATTAGTTTTTGAGCAGAAATTCCTGAACTTTTGAGGAACTTTTGCACCCTCCCTAGTCTCTCGAATTTAATCGAATAAATCCCAGAAATGTGGCTTAAAGGTTCAACATTAAACACCAATTATAAAATTATAAAGTTAACCCTGCCAGCCCTTTATTAGCTAACACAATATCCATCTAATAACTCAAGAGCATTATGAAACTGTCACACAAATGGCTTCGGGGAATTCCCTTTCGACTTCATTGTCAACCCCTGCCATGCCACATGATATGCCATCCCCAAGTATTCTTTACCATCTCATGCTCCGTCATGTTGACATCCTGGCTGTCACAGGCAATAAGCCAAAGGCTAAACTTTGTTTGTTGTCTCACGATGTCTCTGCTCTTGGTCTCTGTTGTCTCTCAGGTTCAATGCATTATTGTGTGTCAAGTGTTTTTCCATTTTCCTCAGTTGGGTTTTCCCCCCCTCTATTTGTCTGTCTTGTCTCCGCTGTGACGTAGCGAAGTCAAGTCAACCTTCATCATTGGCAGACGCCAGTCAGCAGACCAGACCACGTCATCGTCATTATTTGCTATTTGACATTTGATTTCCCTTTTCTTTTTTAAGATGTTTTTTTTTTGCTACAGTTTTGTTGCCTTTTTTGTAGATATTTGCTGCTTGTTTTGGTCTGCTCTTGGTCTTTGTCTGCGTTGCACGTCAGCGATTTATCGATTCGCAGGGCCATGACTCAGAAAAGGAGTCCGCTGGGTGTATGAGTGCTACAGATTGTCTGCCAACAGTTGCAGTTGCAGCGTTTTGTGGCAGGTTGCAGGTTGCTGTTTGCAGGCTGCAGCTGCACATCCACATTTATTTAAGTGGATCTCCTCTGCACACTGCCCTCTTCCCCTTGGCTCGCATTTAAGCCGCATTTTTGTGTTTTGGTTGCGAAAAAGAACAGGAAACTGCGCACAAAAAAAGAAACTGAAAAAATTAAATAACAGCAGTGGCAGTGGCAGAGCAGCGACAGCGACAGCGACGCTGCGTCTCCAAAAATATTGTGCAAAATATGAGAAGAGGCCAAAGTGTTGGCCAGGCCAAAAGATTGCTGGGGATTGTAGCCGAGCAGGCTTCCTCTCCATGGGAAGACCAGACCAGACCAGACCTGACCAGACCCCTCTTTAAGGCTTGCGAAATGTGTAAAAATATTTCTGAAATGGTTTTGCAGACGCACAGAAACACAGAAACCACAGCAGGAGGGGCCAGAAGTGGGTCCTCCGATAAGCAGAAATCATCAGGGAGGGGACACCCCGGTAACCTTACACTCGATGACGCAACCCATCCATTCCATTCAATTCCACTCGGAAGCAACAACAACAACAAAAACCAACAAGAAAAGAAGAGCTCTCGAAAAACGAAAACGAAAACAAAAACAAGTCGAAAATAAAACCTCAATAATTGGCGACATAATTGCAACTTAATACCACGCTTTAGCCCGCTTTGTTGTTGTGACTTCGGGTCTCTGCCTGCGTCTGTGTCGTTGGGCACTCTTTTCATTTTCATTTTCATTTTCATTTAGTTAATTATATTGACAACAGCCACAGCAGAGCCAAAAATGCCAATGCACAAAACTGAACTTCAGGGGGCACGCACACACAAAATGCCCCAATGCACAATCACACAGACAGACACTCGGAAAAATCGGAGTATAGTTTTGGGAAATTGCTTTCAAGTTTGTTAATGTGTGGTTGGAAACGGGTTTTTTCTTTCCCTACAATTTGATCGATTTAAAAATGAAAAAAAAAAAACCTTAACTAATATTTCTTGCAGTGCATTTCCACAGCTTAGTGCAGTAACTGTAGCTACCGCTTCGTGTGGTTTGGCTCACCTGCAGCATCAGTTCGCGCAACTTGTCCAAATCGTCGCCGTGCGACCTTGTGGGCAGGTAACGGCCGTCCACCATCTGCGGGGGTATGACCAAAAGCAGCAGCAGCAGCCATACAAGCCACCTGTGTCCCTGCCTCAGTTGCAGGCCCATTCCCATGATGAGGCTGCTCTCCGTTCCCGCTTGGGAGCTCCTTGCTGCCCTCATTGTTGTTGTTGTTGTTGTAGGGGTGGGCGGTTCTTGTGGCTGCGGTCGTCTGGGTGTGGCTGCAACTAGAGTGGGGGAACAGGACCCGTAATTGGGATTGCAATGGAGTTGACTTTTAAGGTGGGGTCAAACCAGAAAAAATATCTCACAGATGGCATTGAGTAATATTTTCTGAGTTTCAGAAATACATCTATGTAAGATGTAAGAAAACCCAGAAAAGAGAGTGAATTCTCTCTAGGTGGGATACATATATTGAAACATAATGGATACGAAAATTGCACTGTATGCAACTAAAAGTTAAGGACTCTTTCTACATTTCTACATAACTAAAGCCTCAACATTTCCTAAATTTCTTAAACTGGCCAAGAGTTGCACTCAAAAAAAGAGGAGCTGCAGGAGGATATTGAAACTTAATTTGCAGAAAGTCGCCTTTTATTGGCGCTAAAAATGCATTTAAAATTGACATTCAACATGTCTGAAAGTTAACCAAAATATTTTTGATACTCCAAAAACACTTTGCGGCTGAACGAAATGCTCACTAAAATAATAATTTCTTCGCGAAATATTCGCCATAAATTCACCAAGCTTAGTGCTTCATTTTTATAAAATATTTCTTCGTTGGAAAAATGTTTAATTAAATGTTAATCCCGGCTTTTACTTTGCGCAATAATTGCGATGCAGCGAATGTTTTGCTCAATTGAAGCAGGGATTTTGTAGGATTACACAATGCTTAACATTTATTATTATGACACTGACACTGAAACCAAAAGCAGAAGCAGAAGCAGCAGACGCAGCCCCAAAGCGGCTGTGGCAGCAACTGGTACGGCTGCACCTGCAACCCGCTGACTCACAATTTGTAGGAGCAGAAATGAATCCCTTGCAGGATGTTAACTACGTCACGTCCTGAATAAGTTGAATAAGTTTTGTCGCTCGCCGTAGGACACGATGTGCTGAACACTAGGATAACAATGTAAGTTTAAGCGAAGCTGCGTGCCGACATTGGTATTTATAGCCAAAAATTGCGGCACTCGGCTGAGATTTGGAGTAGATGACGCCGCCAGGACGCCTGCCTGCCTGCCTGGCCGCCAGCACTTCCTACACGACCTACACATGCGCTACTCCCCTTAGAAAGAGCTCCAATAACATTGACAGAGGAGCAAAGGCAAAGCAACGCGATGCGAAGCGAAGCGTAGGCCCCCAACCGCATCGTAGTTGGGATTTCCCTCTGCGGGTGTCCGCTGTCTCCCAAGCCGAATTCTTTTCACTTTTAGTGCGCGCGCAGGGTCAGCAATACCAACGACAAAAGCAACAAGATGTAGGAGAGGTTAAGGGTTAGACAAAGCGAAGCTGAGAATACCCTAACAGAAGGCATTACTAAGAGATCTAAGAGCTAAAGGTGTTGCTGGTTAGATATTTATAGTACCCACTGTTGAGAGTATTGTGGAACATCCATATCATTGTCACCGTACACTCGGTAGTATATATTTCGCTGTGTCCTCAGTGTCCTCGCATTTCTATTGTCCTGCTGCCTGGCTGCCTGGTGGGCGGCGACTTCATCATCATAATACAGCCCCAGCCTCCCATCTACCCATCTACCCATCTCCCATCAACCAGCACTCTTGGTATAGAATATGGCAAAATGTTTTCGCTTGGCCAACTTTCATGGTTAACTCTGGGAGTGCTTAAATCTGTTGTTACTTCGTCCTCGTGCTTGTCCTCGTCCCAGTCGTCACCATGGCTGCAATTGTTTACATTGCGGTCGCGTCAATAATGCCCGTAGCCCGATGCTGGTCCCCGTTTAACTGTGGGCCGCTTCAAACTCCACATCTTTTCTGGAACTGGCTCTGGGTTTGTAGCCCAATGGGTAGTATCAGTGGTCTGGTCCCTGTAAAATGGTACCATTTGTATACCACGCACGGAGCGATAGACCAAAATTTTTGATATAGCGCAGTTTTGTGTAGCCATTGGCTGTGATTGAATACGTGACGTGCATCGGGTAGCAGTGTGGCAAGGGCTTTTATGGCCCTGGCTATGAGGAATAGGAATATCACACCCTCACTCCCTCCCCAGCACATATTGCTCCTTGGTTTATTTATGAGCCAAGGCATAAACGCTTTATGGAACAGCCCGGAATTGTTCATGCCCAGTGCGTTTCGACAGAAAAATATGAAAACCCCCACAAAAAAAAAGGGAAATAAAAAAAAACAATTACTCCAATTAACTAAAAATGAAAAATAAATGAAAGTTAAAGCTGCTCAGAGCGGGATTCGAACTCGCCATTTATTTTTCACCACATAAAAAGCTTTTCTATGGCTTGAACTTGCGACGGGAGCTTGCAGAGCCGACACTGAGCTGTTCAGCCATGAAGCATCGGTGGTTCAGTGGTAGAATGCTCGCCTGCCACGCGGGCGGCCCGGGTTCGATTCCCGGCCGATGCAGCAATAACTTTTTTTTTTGTAGGTTTTTTTTTTGGAAAATGGTTCTTCTATGCATTATAATGTTTGCAACTTAACAAAAAAGCAATGGATTGTAGTGTGCAAGCAGTTAGAGCATTCTGATCCATTCTGATATCATTCTTGAACAGAAAATCTAAGCAAAAATAGTTCCAACCGCAATCAAAGCTGATAAATCTCACAAGAAACCTTCAAAGGTTTGTTTGAAATCCTCACCTGTATGCTAATTAAACTGTTATACAGTCATACAGTTCGTAAACCCCGAAATTCTTATTGACATTTGCATAGACTTTATTCACTTGATTCATTTTACGATTACAATTACGATTACAGTACAACAACAAATGGAGTTTTGAGTTATCTCGGATGTGTTTTTTTTTGTTTGTTTACGAGTAGATGGAGGGGCGGATATGGCTCGTATTAAACCTTAACTACATGGAAGCTACCAAGAAGTGGATATATGATCTACTTAACAACAACTAAAATACATTCAGTGGCATTCTACCTACAATTATACTCGATGCTCATTATATATTATGCTCAGACACGGCACTCGTCTAGGGATTACATCTACAGACACAGCATGAAGGAAACAGGAACCAGTCCATAAATATGCCCTTGCAATCGTTATCAGGATCATAGGCCAACAGTCGATGCCATTTGTACTTTTGCTCGCATCCGCACTCTCCCTCGCAGCGTGATGTTTGTGTATTGCTATTGCGGATTATAGAAAAAAGAGAGTTAGACGCTTTTCTTGTATGGGTAAATCTATGGTTAGCTCACCTGCACACCTCCTGGTGTATGGCCTGCTCAAAGTGCTGTGTGTTGACAATGGCCCTGATCTTGCCTGCTGAGTTCGATGCCCAATAGGGTGTCACAATTTCGATTTTCGATTCGCAGGCATCGAGTCTGCCTGTGCCGGAGTTCGCCTGCCCAGCGCCACTGCTCCCAGGTGTTCTGCTGGCATTGCTTCCGGTAGAACTTCCAGCACCACTGGAACCACTGTTGCCTGCTCCTCTGTTGCGACTGCCACCAACTGCCGCCTGACGCTTCTTTCTGAGTTGTCCGAAATAACTGTCGCCCGCCTCCACGGCCTCTCCTGCATGGGCTGCATGGGCTGCATGTGCTCCGGGTGGTATAAATATATCCGGCTCGTCTATAAATCTTCTTTTGCGCACTTTTGGCTGTTGATTGCCGCCACCTGCAGGTCCCTCCATATTCATCTCAAAGTCTCCATACATGCGACGCATCAAAGCCTTGTTGTCATCTATAAAACGTTCAATCTTGTCGCTGTAAGTTAATTGGAGGGAGATGCAATTTGATTAGTTTATTTATTAATTCTTTTAATTTCAGTTAACAGTTTGCACATCCATCGCTTAGATCTATCGCTTGAGAGGCCTATTGGGCATCCATCATCTTGAAGAGTGATGAAATTCTTCTTCCATTTCGAGAGGTTCAAAACCATTCACAGAGTCTATGAGTCTATGAAATCCGCATTAGTTTTTCTCACTTTGTCATGACTATGCTAATGAGAGCCGTTAAGTCACGTAGTCAGTTAGTAGCTAACAAAATGTGAATCAGGTCAGTTCATCAAGAAGAGACCAAATCCAAAAAGAAAACCACAAAAAAGCAAACTTCCTTGGAGCCAATCAGGGGGAATGTGCGAATTTTATTTCGCTGGAAAACCGCATGATGCACCATTCGTTATCCGTTTTGTAGTTGGAATTCCCTAGATCCTAAATATAGCAATGGAATTTAAATACTCACATGGGATAGCTGTTGCCGGCTGTGGGGCAGAATAGCTGATGAAAGCGCTTGATGCATGGCACACCCTTTATCACATCACCTCTGACATCCAGACCCAGAGCCACCGACAGGGCCGTCCACCAGATCTGAACGAGTGTTTAAAAGAGAATTTTAAGTTTAAGTATTTAAGCATTGGAGGGTACTGTACATTAAAGATTGAAGGAGAGGACCATAACAAAAATGATGGCCGGTGTGTGAAAATGACTCAAGTAAGTCATAAACATAAAAAATATAATTTCAGCTTGATCCCGGGGGGGATATCTGAAAGCCGAGATCTTGGCAGAACGGAGGAGTTGGCTTCTCGCTCTCTCCATTCGTCGTCACACCTCTTAATGAAACGAACTCGCACGACCTTCGTGCACGCAAAAAACAAAACAACAAAAACAACAAAAACAACAAAAAATAAATAAAGTAAAAACAGAAAATCGTCAAAGTTATTTCCGCAAATGAGCAATCTCGATCGATATCGAAACGAATTTAGAACCTGAGATGGAATTAAAGTGAGCGCGTGCCTGCCTGCCCAATAAGAGTCCAAGTGTTGGGGCACTTACCGGAATCTGTAGGAACGATCCGTTGTTGAGCTTCGGATAGGAGAAGAGCGGCACCACCGGCACCGTGCCGTTCTTCAAGTAGATTGGTCCCTGGATGGGTGTCACAGTGGGCATCTGATTGCTATTCGCCTTTGCTGTGAATGGAATGTAAATGGCAATTGGTTATTCGGGTGATTCATGGCAAGGACAGGGACAGTGTCGTTGTCACTGCATTAATCAGTGATCGCTCTCGGTTAAACCCCAAAAGTTGTTGGAGTTGCAAGTGCATTGCCAGTGCCTGCAGTCTGCATATAAATGGGAGTTGCAGTTGACACATGCGAGTATAAATTTCATGTCTGTCTGGCATTTGTAATGCCCTCCCAGATCCGGATCTGGGCCATGCCAAAAAAAAACTTTCCCTTTTGCTGCACACAGGATGCAAAACGAGTTGAAAGCGGGAGCCAAGGAAAGGAGATTGCACTGGGCCCAAGAAGCGTTAACTATTTGAATCATTTGCCCTAGATTCTGGGGCAGCTTGTGATGAAATAGAACCAGCATATCTGAGAGCTGACATCTCTTGTGGTGAAACACAAATCTGCTGCGAGTACTCCAAAGACAAAAACCCCACGAAAAAAAACCAAACAGAAAACTTGTATATGACTTTGTTGTATCTTGTGGATGGCTGTGGCTGGCTTGCGTGTGCACACGTCTTTTCATATGGAGAGCTGGTTCATGAGCGACTTCTTCTTGCATAATAGCAGCCCCGTAACCGAGTTGAGTACTTGAGGTCTCTGGCAGGCAGGCAGGCAGGTTGCTCGCTGGCTGGCTGGCTAATGCCTCAACGAGGCAGAGTTGAAGTTGGATTTTTGGCTACAACAAAGAGGCGCCACAAAAGTGAAACATCTTTAAAATGTAAAGCGCTGACAGTTTTTTTGTGTGTGCGGACAACAAGAGCAGTGCGTACTTCAACTAACAACAGACAGACAGTTAGACAGATGGATGGATGGATGGATGGATGGACCTATGGATACACCCAAAACTTAGATACCAAAACCTCGGGGAATTTGTGGCATTAATCGTGCTGCGTGTTAGTCCGAAATGCGCTTATAAAACTCAAACACTGACCATTACTGTCTTGAGAATTGGTGACCTTGCCTATCGGTTTGTAGACCTTTGACCTTGTCGCTTGTTTACCCCCTCGTTGGTGGCTGTTGTTGCTGTTGCTGCTCCCACAAATGTGCAGAAGTTGCTCCCAATTGGAAAGATACACACAACAAATAATACAAGTAGCAGGCAAACAACAACTAACAGTGCGAGTGACATGACTTCGTCTCTGAATCGTGTGCAGACGTGGGACTCGACTTGACTCCTCTCCGCTTATCGGATCTACATGCCCCCATTAAAAATTATACAATAAACATTTGTTTCTTTTATTTGCTAATTGTTCAGTTCAGGAAATGCTCGATATGGAATGTCTGAGCAAACACTTTCGGGGTTTCCTTCGTTTCGTTCAAATGAGGAAGTACATCTTGGGGGATTTTGACTCATACGTAGGAGATAGCTCTGGAAACGCTTTGGTAAAGAATACTTTCTGAGGGAACTCTGCCTCAAGCACTTCTAGGACTGAAAGACGGAAATGTTTCTGGTGCAACTTCCCTAAGACACTGAAAGAAACCCTCAAAGAATGCTCCTTTGAGCTGTGGTTTCTGTACAACCAATTTGAGGCTTTAGCTTATCCCACTCACCTGCCTTCTCCTGCCCCTCGTAGTACTGTCCATCCTCGTCTTCATCCTCCTCATCCTCCTCGTCGCCCTCCTCCACATCATAGTCGAGAACGGCATGCACCTGAGTGCGTGAGCCCTGTCCTGCCTGCACCCGCGTAAAGCCCGGCGCTCTTTCCGGATAGTTTTCGGGCGCTGCCACGCCATAGGTGGACGCAGGCTGTGCCTCAGGCTTCGATTGTCTGGTGCGCGGCTGCTGCTGCTGCGACTGCGGTGCGGGCGGGGGTGGCTGCTGCTGCAGCTGAGGTGCTGGTGGTGCTGCCTGGGGCTGTGCCTGTTGTTGTGGTTGTGGTTGTGGTTGCGGCTGCTGCCTGCTACCGTAGCTGGTAATACTGAAGCTGCCGCTGTTCTTGCTAAATGTGGCACTGGCACTGCCGTGGGCATTGAAGAATTGCTTCTGCTGCTGCCCCGGAAAGCGGCTGTACGAGCCCTCGCCCGGGCCTCGGCCAGTCGAGTGGTGGGTCTGCGTCAGCTGTATGGTGCTCTGGCCGGCGCTGCTCGACCTGGAACTGGTTGAACTCTGATAGGAGACGCTGTTCTCATTGTTGGCCTCCTGCTGCTGTTGCTGTTGTGTCTGCTGCTGGATGTGGTACACAGAGTTACGTGCCGCAGCGGGGCCCGTGGGTGGCAGATAGGCATTATTCTGCTTGCGTCTGCTCTGGTATGGATAGCCTGCGCTTGCCCCTTGTGCTTGTGGCACACTTGTATGCTGCGGTGGCGCATAGGGATTATTCTTAAAGAATTCAGAATCTGTGGGGCCCTGCTGCTGGGGGTGCTGCTGTTGATGGTCCGCCGGAGAGTACAGCAAATTGTTGGTGTTGCTGGCCAGCTGATGTATGGGGTGCAGGGGTGCCAGGGTGACGCCCCAGGGCTGGCCGAGCGCACCGAAAGGCAGTGAGAAATTGGTCAGAGCCATCGCTGGGCTTTAGTTATAAACGCGACACAAAAGACTTAGGCAACGAACTGAAGCTGCCACACGCCTGCCGCCGGCGTTGAATGCGGCAACATCTAGATTTGAAGTGCAGAACAGAACAGCGAAATCCAAGCTGGAAGTAGCCCGCTCTCGAAACTGATTTATGCAAAAATAACAAATCCGTCAGAGCTCCCCACTGCTGCTGCTCCACACAGCTACACACACACACACACGAACACAAAGTAGCGAGTTATGTAGTATACATGTACATATGTAGTTGTAGTTGTGCCAAAGTTGTTGTTTTAATAAGTTAAGTGACGCTTCCAGCCGTAGAGTTTGGCTTTAGCTTTAGCTTTGGGTTCGACTTTGGCTCGGACTACGTGGTCGAACGTTCGATCTCTCGTACTCGTAATCGCACTCGTATGCCGCGGATCTTGTGCTAAAAAAACCATTCACGACAAGCTGACAATCGAGACTGAGCCGTTCTCGCCGTGCGCCTTTAAAAAACTTAATGGGAGGAAAAATGTTTCAGCACCAGCCCAGACTCAATTCAAAATCGAAATCTCAAATATAAAAATATATCTCTGCCTCCGTTGAGACTTCAAAACAGTTGCCTCCTCTGTTACGGCGCTCGAGACTCTTGGCGGCAGTGAGAGGCTTTGCCCAGAGCAGAGCCCCCCGTGCACACACTTTGCTCAGCAAAAGTCTCTCATGTGTTTTTGTTGCTGCTGCTGCTGCTGCTGCTGAATGGCAAATCGAAAAATAAAACAAAACCGGAAAATAGTGGAAGGCAGACATGAACGAAGTGGGAATGCTCTTTGGGTTAATGTTTTGTGTGTGCTAAGAATGTAGAAATATAAAGAGAGCCGAGCACATGGATTAACTGGGAAAATGCATCAATAAATATCCAAATGTTTATGTGAATATTTTCCATTATTTGTAGACTCTAAAGAAGAATCTTTTATATTCTTCAAACATTTTTCCGCTACATTTTGAGTTTCAACAGAAGTTCTGTACATTTTCCCAGGCGTTTTTCTTGCAACTAAAAATCGTTCAGGCTTCATCCGTGACTAATACTTCCCACTAATTAGAATGCTTGTAAGATCTGAAATTTGTGACCTAGGTCAATGCCTGGCTGATGTTTGTTATACATTCCGTAGCCGTTACCGAAAAAACGCATATTAATCACAGTAACCAAAATCGTTGTCTGCGCTGTTTTATATTTTTTCTGTCGAAGGCAATGAAAAGCAAAAGTGGAGGCTTTCAAAACTGGTTGTGTGTGTGAAGAGAGCAACGAGAGTCGAGCGCCGTCCGTTATTACACACACATGAGCTTAAGAGAGTCTTAAGCCCCTCTCTCTCTCTCTCTCTCTCTCTCTAGCGTTCTCTCTGCTCGCCGCCTCTCTTAGTTGTTACAGGGTGGGTGGAATGGGAGGGGGAGCTCTCAGGTATGTCGTTTGTAATGCCGAGTGCAGTGGTGGCGATGAGCCAGGCAAAAATTGACTGGCGATGATGCGCGGCTATGAATGAATACAATAAACTGATGGCTGATGGATAGCCGCGGCTATGACGTAGTCATATCTTGGTGTCTCGTTGGGGTTCACTTTGCATATTAGCACCTCTTAACTGGAGCTCTCCGCCTGTAGACTGTCCGCAGGCGGAAACGGATGCAACAGCCGCTGACAGGTGGTCGGATCTTATCTTTCTCATGAATATGTCAGGGAAATACGCCCTTAAGTGGTTGTGTCTCCTGTTGGCTAATGAATCATTCGTAATGGGAATTATTTGGAAACCTTGTGGGAGTGATGGGAGGAGACTTGCATTTTTAGTAATTGCTCCCATTTCAGGGCCAATCGTGGCACCCTTTCCTTTTTTTTTTATCGCATTCTTACATGCAAATAAGTTACACTTCAAGTGGCAGCACTTGGGGGTTTGGCCAGCAGCTGCCCGCCACCGCTTGAGTGTTGGCCAAGAGACTTGTAGACATAACCATGGCCATGGCTAATAGCAGGCTGGCTGGCCTTTGTTCTATGTGGAGCTGCTGGCTGACCAAGCCCAAAACAAATATGCCACCAGGGATGGAAATTAAGAGTTTTCAGATGAATTAAACTTTCCTACTTTATGGGAGGAATAATGCTCTATGGATTACTTCTTTTATATGAACAATTCCCAATGTTAAATGTATTTTGGATGTGGCTAGACATATTCCAAATAATATTCTAAAGATCAATCTTTAAGGAATGTTTGAAACTATTCCTCCACCTCTTAGCTGTTCTAGAACATAGAGGAGTTCAGTGCCAGTCCCTAGTCATTCCGCTCGCATGTTGCATATGCATTATGAACCTATTTCATAAGACCAGAACAAGTTTACACTCTGCTCATAGTTCAAGTCAGCAAGCGCCAGTTTTTTGCCTTTCCCTTTTCATGCGACACAGAGACATTGAAATTGAAAACTTCTTGGTTGAATTTGTTGGCCACGAAGCATAGCGAACCGAAAAAATCCACTCGACAATCAAATAATTTGACAAGAAATCGAATTGAAACCGAAATGACATTCCTGCTAGCGCCTAGGCCAGGGATTGGAGCCAGGAATTGGACTGTATCGCCTCGGGCCTTCGTCGTCGTCTGTCAAAAGTAAAACAATTTGTAGACCTTATCGAAAGGTGGGCTCTCAAGCGTTGGCCTTAAGTCGGTAACAAAATTTTAACTGCCAATCTTTTGTGCAGCCACAAATAAAATAAAATTCAAGTGTTTGTTGCTGCCTGCCTGCCCGCTGTCATTGTGGAGGGGTTCTCTCGGAAATCTCTCAAATCTCTGCCCCAAGACGAATGACAATCCGCGAGCCAATTGATCGATTCGATCAGCATACAACAACAGCAAAAAAGAGCTTTAATTAGAACCAATTTAGAGCGTGGACCAATTTATCAGAAGCATTTCGAAAAGTAGTTGGAGAACCAGTCGAGAGCAACTTCAGCGCTAGATTTCATTAAAATATTATTATTGTTATGGCTAGAAAAGTGAACTGAACTGAACTGAAACACACAGAAATAGCCAAGACAAATCGCCTTTTACGCATTCGTTTTCCTTTGTCAATTGTGTGGCAGTTGGCGGGTGGCTGCTGGCTGCTGGCACTGCTCGAAAGGTGTGGAATGGACCCCAACCCCGGGCTCAGGTTCAAGTGCACATGGCATTCATATACACATACAAATATACATCGTGGATCTGTAACAATATGGAGCACTCAATGCGAGAGTTGAATGTTTTCTGGCTCTTTCGATCCGCCCGCCCTCTGGCGTTACACCTACGAGCAGCAAACGAGTTAATTAATTTGGTTCTTTGCCAAAACAGTTTTCTTTATATAACAATTCATTAATTACCTTTCGATTTCTGGTTTTTACCTTGGGGCAGTGTCATGAACCCGACCGACAACAGCTCGCGGCTCACACCTAATGCCATTAGCTGTGGCGGATCTGGGATTACAATGTTCGATCGAGGAAATAGTTTTATTCCAGCTACAAGTCTTAGTATCTATCGTACTTTGCCTTTGAGGGCACACCTGGTGCCTGGCTCTGGCTGTGACTGTGACTGGGTCCGCTGCCAGCAGCACTTCCTGTCGCGGCCAACGTGTACACCTCATAGTCGCTGATGCTGAAGTTGTAGTCCCCGAAGAGCGTGAGCTGAGCGGCATTGGGGCCGTCATAGGAATGCGGAAGATTCGAATACGAGTCCATGTTTGCATTGCAATTGCTGGAGATGAGCAGATCCGCACCAGCACCGAAAATGGGACCACAACTGCAAGGAACTAAAAGTTATGTAAACATTTTAGGGAATAATCCAATCCCCACTCACTCTGGATGATAGCAGATGGCATAGGGTTTCTTGACAATATCAAACTTCGATGGTTGCTCTCCATTTGAGGGATTCAGCGCATAGAGAAAGGCCCGCTCCGACTGCACGTAGCCACCCTTGCGACTTGTATTGGCCCAAGCGACGTCCGTGTAGCCGCCGCTAATCTCTCCATGTGACCCGAGGCCAATGACCATGCAGTGGGCGACCCCATCGCAGTAGCGATGAAAGGAACTCGAGTCATAGCCATGGGTGGAGGCACGATAGACCAGACGCCACGATTGTTTGGCCACGCCAAACCAGCCATTGAGTACGCTCTGCAGCGGCAGTTTATCGTTGAGAAGGATCTGCGAACCGGGAAACATGTTGACGGCTACGGTGAGGCGTGGCTGCAGCCGCTTGTCGTTCTCCATCATTTTGTTGGCATGCAGGGCGGCATAGCGATAGCGTTCGAGCGACAGCTCCATGGGTACGGCCCCAGTGGGCTCCACTTCCTCGGCAAAGACTTGGCTATCGATCAGCAGCAGTCGCACATGGCCCATGACGCCACTCAAGTGCTGACAGACACGCGCACGCTCCTCCTCAGTCCAATGTGCAGTGGGTTGGGTGACGCCCGCCTGGTACTTGGCCCAGGCCAAAACGCAGCGCCAAACTTCCTCCTCCTCCAGGCAAAACTGCAAAGGAGATTAGGTTAATTTTTGATGGACATTTTTGCTACTCTGCTGCCATACATAGTCGGAGGAGATGATCTTGATAATGGCCTCCTTGGCGAGCGTTAGGAATGCATTTGTTTTGACGCACTCCCCGGCATTCTCCCCTATAAAGATGATGCAGCGCTCCATGAAGGTAGCCGCGCACTTGGCACCTGCAACAAAAACCAACAAAAGATTACTCCAAAATCAGGATTCAACCCTTTTACCTGAAGGCAGCTCCCAATTGAAATGTTCGGGTTTAAAGAAAAGATATCCATTTATTTAGTTTTCATTCGTTTTGAGGCTTCAGCTTTACAGTCATGATTACAACTTATGGTTACGGCGTGCATCTATCGGGAGGAAAGGTAATCCAATCTACGCCACTAATCCTTGGACGGGCTCACGTTCTGTATCAGCGTGATGTTGTCCCCTTTTAGCATAATGCGGCCCAGACTCTTGCGTTGGCGCGTCTTCACGTACACTTCTTCGGCATCGTCCAGAACCAGATTCATGTACTCGTCGAAGCCAACAATGTGGCCCTCGATGCGCAGCGAAATGTTTTCGTACAGCCAGACTTGCACGCGCGAGCGATTCTGCAGGTAACGGAAGATCAGGTTGATGGGCTGCACCATCACCTTTTGCACCTTGGGATTGCTTTTGAAGGACATTTTGGCTACTTTAAATCGCTTTTAATTAAAATTGAAAATAATTTCGTTTTTCGCTTTTTTTGCCGGCGTCTGTAAAGGAGTGTGACCGCAGACCCTCGGAAATATACCGAAATATACCCTTGCACTTTTCATACTGTGAACATACCGAAATCAAAAATCATTTTTCTCGATTTTGATATTCTGCTTAACAGCTTCTGCTTTCTCAGCACTATAACTATAGTATTTTCCGATTGATGCACCAATTCTCCACAAGATTGGCTAGTTTTCACGACTTCCTTTATTTGGAGTGTTTACAAAACTTATCAATATATCGAAATTGCATTTTTTTCTTTTCTTTTGCATGCCACAAAACGGAACTATGTTATTCCGCTGTTAAGTGAATATTTCGCGTCTAGCAGCACTTAATTATTATCGAGTGGCTGACTATATCGATGCATATGTGAGATCGATACTTAACAGCGACATCGGTAGTCCACTTTAGCTGTAACACGAGCATAAGTTGTTTTCGCAATTTTTTTGTTAAGTTTCTATATAAAAAACTCATAAAATGGCCATGGATAGTGCGAAGAGGGGCGAGATCATGGAACTCGCGAAGCAACAAATTGCCGTAGCCAATGCCCAAGAGATGCTCTCCAAAATGACGCAAAGGTGCTTCAAGAAGTGTGTCGGCAAGCCCGGCTACTCGCTGGATTCCTCAGAACAGGCAAGAATGGAATAATATAGGAATACGTGCAAGCCATAATTGTGATTATCACCAAACTTTGTTTAAACAGAAATGCATATCAATGTGCATGGACCGGTTTATGGACTCGTGGGACCTCATCTCGCGTGCGTACGACCAGAGAATACAGCGCCAGCAACATAACCAATAGACACACACAGTAAACCCTGCATTTGTGGCAGACACATCAGCTACCTATTGATTAGTTGTTACATTCACATTTTAAATGCAATAAACAAAAACATGCATTACATGTGTTACGTGATTTCGATAGCACAACGTGCACCACACCGATTGGCAGCGCATTTTGCGCGTAACAGACACTTTTTCTGCTGTTATCTCAGCTTGCCGATGTTTCCCCGCGATATTTGAAATTTGTTATGCCTACCTGCTTTCTCATGGATATCCATTACTGCGGTCAGAAAGGTGCACGCATTGTCCACGGAGAGTGTGGAGATGACATGATCCTCGCAAGCGGTGCGCAATTCCACGACGCCCATGTCTTGGGCCATCATCATCATTTGAAAGACCTGCGAGTCCTGCAGCACCAACTGTATCAGGGAAATATGTGTTTATATATGTGATAATAGTAATGTATTTCCACCGTTTACCTTTGCTGTGTAGACATACAATATAAATTGACGGAAAAGATCTGGATTAACGTGTGGCAGACGTATAGTTGTGGGCGCGGAGGCACCTGGAGCGGCCGGCGACACGGTGCAGCCGGGAATGCGGCACACCTCGCCGCGCTTGGCCGTCTTGAAGCTCTTGCAGCTGCAATCAATGAATGAAAATCGCAAAGTCAATTAATTGTCTTCCCCTACCCCCCCTTTGTTGCATGCCTGGCGTGCCAGCACGCACCTTGTAAGGTGCCTCAGAATGGCAATCATCAAGCACTCACCGGGCCATCAGCATCAGCCTGTGGGCATAGATGATGCGCTCATCTCGACCGCAGATGAAAACCAGATCGGCGCTATCCTGGTCCTCGGAGAGGCGCTGCAAGTCATCGATTAGCTGTGGCAGGCTCATAATTGTCTTTGTAAATATTTTCTAAGTGAATTCCAAAAATTTGTTAATCACGTGTTCACATTTCTCCCCTCGGATCTTTGCTTTTTGCCAATGTTTTGTTTATGTTTTCACTTGCGTTCAGATTCTCTTTGTTGGCCAACACAAGAGGGCCGCCAGAACCGGTTACTGCCTGAAAATTCTTTCCAAACAAAGCATAAATTGCTCTAAGAAAAATAGAGTCGAGAATTACAAGTCTTTAATTTTGTTGGGCTTATCATGGAACAATTTATGAAGTTAAGAACTTTATGTATACTTTTTATAAGTCACTTTTAACACAATTAAATATAGAAACTCCGCTTGGTGTGTGCGCGTCGCGTCGTTCTCGCGCTGGCGTTGAAAAAGAGAATCCAGCGAAAGAACAACCTGACGATCCCTGCTTCACCTGAGCAGGTAAACGGAATTGAATTTGGTTTGTTTTGCTGTGCTTCTCTCTCGCATCCGCTGCGCTCTCTTTTGGGATGCTTCATTAACCCCAACCCTACCATTCTGGATTATTATTAGCCAACATAAAAGTCAAATCTACAATTTCTGATTTATTTATTGGAGGAACATTTGAAATTGTATTTGCCACGGTATATTTGGTTGGGTAGGGTCACACATAAAATACTGCTGGCCAGTGGAAGAGGCGAAGTGTGTAGTACCAGAAACGGACGCGGGCGTTGAACAGGCGCCACTAAATCATTTTAATCTGGTTTTGGCCTCAAAGTGATGGCATACTTTTAAGGATAAATTCCGATCAGGATCACAGGATTCAGATAAGTAATTGTTCCATTACAATTCAACTTTTCCACTGTAAAGGACTGAAACTCTGCCAGTAAATAAAAACTCCCAGCGATATGTAATATTTTGCATAATTTATCATTTTTTATTTGTTTTCTGTTTTTTGTTTTCTTTACATATGTAATAATCTGTTTGTTTGTGTGTGTGTTCGTGTGTGTGTGTGTGTGTGGTTGTTTATTTGTTTCTGCACTACTTAATATGAAACGTTGAAGTCAAATGTTGTTCATTATGTTCATTAACTGTTTAATTTGATTAAACTTTATTTGCCCTTGTTGTAGTGTGTGCAATTGTTGTTTCGTGTTGCGGCTCCCCTCTGCACTTCCGTACCGCCCCCTCCCACCCCAATATTCTCACTACATTTTCTATCGTTTATTTGCTCCACAATTTGTACATTTTATTTCTGCGTTTCTGCATTTCTATGCCTCTGAATCGTCTTCGGGACACACACAAGTATATATAATAATCATTATATATCCAATATATATTTGCATGTGTGTTGACAAGACGCGGATTTGTTGCTGCTGCTGCATTTTCTTTTAATATAAACTTATACCATTATTTTGTAATTATTTTTAACAATATCAAGTCGTTTCTTTTTAAAGCAGGGCAAAGATTTCTTTTTTTTTTTTTGGGCATCGCACTTTTTTTTTTGTTTTTTTTTTAATATATAATATGTCGTCGTATATAAACACTCGGGTTATGTAAAATTTGTCAATATATTTTACTCGTTTAATTATAAAAATGATTGTTTGTTTTTGTTTTGTTTTTGTCTTTGGGTTGCTAGCAAAAATGATACAAAAAATCTGTTTGTTGGGTTTTGCTCATTTGTTTCATCGTTTGTGTTTTGTTCTCAACTGTTTTCATCGCTTGTAAAATTTGGCCATAAATACGAAATTTGCTGAAAACCGTTTTGACGCTTTTGATTAACCATTTTATCCTCCTCTCCATTCTATTCTGTTCTATGATTTATGAAATTTATTATGGTTCTGTTCTGTTTTTTGTTTGGGGAAAAAATTAAACTCAGAATTGAAAACGAATTCATTTACAATAATTTGTATATATATTTTTGTCGTTTTTTATTTCTTGCATAGCAATTGTAATTGTTTTTATTTTTTTGTTGCATATAATTTATATAACTTTTTTCTTTAGTTCTTTTAAAATATGCATAACAGTTTTTGTTTTTCGTTTTTGTCGCTTAATTCCTCACAATTGAAATCGTTATTCATAAATGTAAGATTTACGCTTTAAATGTTTCGTTTTTTATGGGTTTTAATGTTATACAATTTTACACAATTTTTAGCTTAAAGTCTAGACAAATTTTGGTTTGAATTTGTTTTGTTGAATATTTGTTGCTTTCTTTGTAATGTTTTTTATATTTTAAAATTTAGAAATAGAACGAAATGTTTTCTTTTAGAAAGTTCAACACACACACAGGCATAAATAATTTATGAAATATGTTTATGTGTTTTTTATATAACAAAAGTTTATAGATTTTTGAAATCTCTGCGCTTTTTCGCTTGGCTCTTGGCTTGGGTTCGGGTTTGGGTTTTGTTTTGTTTCGTTTATTTCCAGTTGGTTATCATCATCCAGACGAATATCTTCATAGTACATCATATCTACGTGTTTCTCACAAAGTGTTTTGTGTTGGCAACTGAAATCCATCATCGTATCATCGAAAGAAAATAATATATACAAAAAACAGAAGGAGTAGAAGTAGAGAAAAAGGGTCGCGGGCCTTAACATCTAGTTAGCAAATGGTATTACGATCTAGGAAACTAAATGCCTACAGAGCAAAGCTACAGCTTACAAGGTATACAATCGAAGATGAACAGAACAAGAGACTATACTCGTATGTAGTTAAAGATCTACTCGTACTCGATTTAGAACTAGAAGCTACAATAAATATTAATCTTTATGTGTATGCGTATGTGGTTTTTGTTTGTATATGTTTATGCTTCTTACTAATCCATAGAATCGAATAATTCTGCGCAGATCTCTAACGTTATCATATATCATAAGTAGATAATTATTTATATTCTGTATGGTATAAAGTTTAACGCGGCAACTTTATCTGTTTCGTATTTATAAAGTATTTTTGTTTTTTGTTTAAGATTTATATTAGAATTGTTTAGCATTTCTTTTACTTTTTCTTTTGTGGTGGGTTCATTTTGTGTGTAATTCTGCTCTACCTCTAACGCTCTCTCTCTCTCTCTCTCTCTCTTTGTCGCTGTCTGTCAAACTTAAAGTTAGAATTAAACTAAATATAATTACAATGGTGTCCAGATGGTTTATCCTTCCACCTATAAGAACCAGCTGCCTTCTGTTTGTCTGAAAAGTAGTTTTCTTTTTCCTAAATTTTGTCTTCGAAGCTTCGCTTTGAATATCATATTTTGTTGTTGTTGTTGTTGTCTTGCAGAGCTTACAAAATTATACAAAAAAAAGATCTAAATTAAGTTTAAAAAGTAAAAGTATAAATATACATATATAGTTTGTATAAACACACGGATAAATTGGTCTCAATGTTTAGGGTTTTTGTTGAACAATATACACAAAAATGATTTTTGTATTGTTTTTATTTAAAGCTTTGGTTTCAATCATAATTTCTGCAAGCAAAGTCAAGAGAATTTCGAAATATCTTTAGAGGGGAAGTCAAACGAATTTAGTTTGTTTTTTGTTTTGTTTTTGTTGAGATCAAATCAAGCTAGGTAAAAGCGTAAAAAGTTATAAAACATTTAGAAATTTAGAATAAAACAATTCATTTGGTTTTTGTACTACTGTTGGACGATACGTTTTCTGCTGAGCAAATCCAAGGAAAATAAAAAGATAAATGATTAATGAACATAATTCTTGATAATTCACTTTGACTTTTATAAACCTAGCCTAAAGCGTCGGTGAAAAACATATCGTGCGACAGCAGCTTGAGGTTCTCTTCATGCCATAGAGTCCAAGGATCGTGTGTAAAAACTCTGTAGTCTAAAAAAAACTAAATGGAAACTGTTATGAGAAGAGACTCCATTCCGAATGGAGTTGTGGAGCTTCCAAAATGTTTTCACAGATATTCCCAAAGTGTCATCTGTGGGATACCCCCAGAAAAGGTGTGGGGCAATGTGCGTGTCTAGGCTTTGAGCTTGAATTTGTTTTGTGGACTCTGGTTTCCCATAGCAGAATTTATGTGGGATAGATTTTACTGTGTGCTTGTGTGTGTCGCTTTATCCTTTGTTGGGGCAGGGACTGAGTGTGGAAGGATGTGTTGCCTAGGCTATTTCCGTTTTGATTTGTATCTCGCAGCTGGTTGTGGTGGCTGTTATGATGGGTAAAGCACCCAGGGATGGTGGCGTCTGCTTCTTGCTCGCCTTGGTGGCCATCGGTGGTGGATGAGGCTGAGCTGGAGCAGGTGCTGTGGCTGGTGCTGTCGCTGGGAGGGGGATGTTGGCTTGAGGCGCCGCTGCCTCGTCTTCATCTGATGCAGAGGCAGAGGCAGACCCCGATCCTTTGCTGAAGCATCGTTGGCGTTGTCTTTGCTGCTGCTGCTGCTGCTGCCGCTGGCGCTGTTGCAATGGCATTTCATCGTCCGAGGAATCCTCTTCATCCTGTGGCCGCTCATCCTCCGCCTCTTCCTCCTCCTGACTCTCAGCTTGCTCCGGCTCCGGCTCCGGCTCCTGCTCCTCCTCGTTGTGATTGTTGTTCATCTTGGCCAGGGCATGGCAGGCGGACATTTGTGCCTTCTTCATCGATGACTCGTCGCTGCTGTTGCTGCTGTCGAACAACTGTCCCGCAGTTGCCGCCGAATCGGGGCTAATGGGCGTCGTGGCTGTGGGTGGCGTGGCCAGAGCACTGCTATGCGGCGCCTGCACCTGCTCCTCCTCCTCCTCCTCTTCTTCCTCCTGCTCCTCCTCCTCCATGTCCTCCTCCTCGTCACTGGAGGCAGACTCTTGACTGGGAGCAGGACTCTTGGCACTGCCATTTATCTTGATCTCTCCATTCGCCTTCTCCTCCGCCACTTGCTCTGGCTGCAACTTTGCTCTTTTGGTGGCAGGCTCCTCCGTCTCGGCCTCCGCCTCCTCTTCGGGCTCTGCTCCGCAGCAATTGAGGGGCGGGGGACTCCGTCGGAGGCCATTGGCCAGCGGCTTCATCAGCTGCTGCTGCTGCTCCTGCTGGTTATTGTTGTTGGCCCGATCCTCCTCCTCCTGCTCCTGCTCCTGCTCCTGCTCCTCCTCCAGATCCTCATCCTCCCCGGCATCGAGCTGCTCCTCCCGCAGCTGCGTCTGCTGCTTGAATGGCACCACCCGCCTCAGCTCCACCTTGCAGTCGAGATCCTCGAACTGCCGGCGATAGCGCTGCAATTGTTCCGTCAGATCTGCTATGTGGGCATCCTGCTTGTGCAGCAAATCGCTCTGCTGCATGCTGTTGTAGCGGAACTGCTGGTTCTCCTGCAGCAGTCGCTGCAGCAGCTGCAGCACCCGCTCCCGATCCCTGGGACGCGTCTCGCGCAGACACTCCACTGCCTGCTCCCAGGGCGGCAGCATGGCGCTGCTGTCGGGCTCTCCGTTCAAGCTGTCATCGTCCGTGTCCGTGGACAGCTCGAATTCACTGCCCAAATGGGGTTTGCCATTCTGCAAATGGACACCTGCTGCTCCTGCTGCAAGTTGCTGCTGCTGGCGCGAGTGGTGCAACGTCTGATGGTGGTGCTGCTGCTGCTGCTGCTGCTGCTGCTTTGTGGCCTGCTGCTGGTGTGGAGAGCTAACCACATTCGAGGAGTGTGTGCTCAGATTGAGGCCCGCACTGGAAGACTGCGTGGGTGAGCTGCCACCTGTAAGCGAAGTAAATGTTAATAAACAAAGGGTAAATACTTAATTCGGCTTTTGTGGTCCTACCCATTGCACCCGCCTTGTAGTAGACACCGCCCATGTGATGTCCTAGCGCCGCATAGTGATGATTGTGCTGTAGATTGTGATGTGGCAACGAGGGAAGTGGTGGTGGCGGCTCCGCTGGCTGGCTCATCAGATTCTTGTTGATCCGAATGCGACTTGGTTCGTTGGCGTTGCAGTTTCCACTCGTGACTGAAATGGAACTGGAGCTGGGCAACAGTTTTGCATGCTGATTGACGGTGGCAATTATGTGCTGCTGTTGGGTGTGTGGATGCTGATGCTGATGCTGCTGCTGCTGCTGCTGTTGGGTGTGTGGTTGCTGCTGCTGCTGCTGTGGCTGTGGCTGCTGCTTCAGTGGCACGGGTGATGTCGAAGAGGTAATCTCATTGCTGCCCGCGGAGAACTCCTCCGGACTGCGTGGCAAGGGCACATGTCTGCTGGCTGCTGCTGGCTGTGGATGTGTTGCGGGTGCTGCGGCTGCCGTTGCTGCTGTTGGGGCCTGGGGCCTGGGGGAGTTGCTGCCACTGGAGGAGCTACGCGGTGGCTCCACCGCATGCAAAGTTTCGCCCGCCGGCGGTGTTGTGGGCGTGGGTGTGTTGTCGTCTCGCTCCTGCTTGATGTGCAGATGCAGCTCCTTCTCCCGCACCCTCTGCCGCTCCATTTCCCGCTCCATACGCTCGCGCTCCCTCTCCCTGTCCCTGTCCTTGTCGCGCTCCTTGGAGAGTATGCTCTTGCGCGGTGCCAGCGCCACATTGGGCTGGTATGTGCGCTCCGCGTACCGCTTGTCCGTGCTGCGGACCACACGCTCGGGATTCTGCAGCTCCGGCGGCTCCTGGCAGGCGTAGGGCAGCGAGGAGAGCGTCGCATTGTAGGCGTGCAGGAAGGCCTTCGTGGTGGTGGGTCCCCACGGGCGGAACGCGGACGAGGAGTTCATCGGCTGGTGGGGATGTGGCGGCTGATGCGGATGCGGATGCGGATGCGGCGGCGGTGGCTGCGGCTGCCCCACCAGCACTGCCCCACGTGGGTGCTGCTGCTGCTGCTGGTGATGCTGTTGCTGCTGCTGCTGCTGCTGCTGGTGTTGCTCTCGTTCCCGCTGCTGCTGCTGTTGCACACAATGGGCGTACATTATTTGGTAGTGATACGCATCCAAGGCGGGCGCTCCACCCGCTCCAGCGGCACCCTTTAGCATCTTCTTGCCTGGAATGTCCAACTGTGGATGCGCCTTGAGGGACACCTGATGGGCATGGGCAGCCACAAGCGGCACAACCACTGGTGCACCCACCAGGCCATGTGGCGCCCCCAGGCCAAGCGGCACCAGCAGCGAGGCATCATCCATGAGCATTTCCGCCTGAAAAGAGGCAAAAAAATGGTTAGAAAATTGATCGGCCATAAAAATAGAAAGATAGAAAGAAAGGAAGAAAGAAAGAAGCTGGCTCGGAAAACCAGTAGCGATCATTAATTTGAATTGCGGGCCAGAGCCCAAACCCCAAACCCCAAACCCCAAACCCCGCCACAGACTATCGACCATCCGCGATGGCTAATTATAAGCAAACCGAGGCGCAGACCGATCCTCGCCAGACTACCAGAGGGAACAGGAGGAACGACGACAACGCGCCCCGGGGCTATGGCGCCAATTGTCATTGAGACTGGGGGGGGGTGGGGGGACTTCGACTGGGTGCTCCTGCTGCTCATTTTGCATTATCATCATGGAGTAGGGTAAAGCCGGTTATTTCGCTGCGTGTTTGTGTAGCTGTTAAAATGATTGGCACCGCGTCCAATTATGGACAAGGCGAGCCCGAACCCGAACCCGAACCCGAACCACGAGACAGCGTACCTCAGACGCGCCAGAGCCATAAAGTGATTTTTGAATGGAGGCGGCGCCATTATCCATTACCCCATCGTCCGCGTACTCCGCTTGGACATGGACTTGCAGCTACCAGAAGGTGTCACTGCGGCAGTTAAGCAAATGGCCAAAAGCAAACGACTGGCGATGATCGCAAACATGTCTGCGGGATTTGGCCCCCGACAGTTGGAAGGAATGCGTTGGAGAGTTCTCTCTCAAAAGGAGGGGGACCGAGAGCTGAATGATGATGATGGGTAGCCGCGCTTACAGCTCCAAATCGTGTCAACAGCAGCAGCTCTCAAAGCTGACTCTCATTACAATAATCATGGGTTCGGCAGGTACTGTGGAGCAGATGGACTTTTGGCGGTTAGAATTCATGGAAGCTAGAAGAGGTGGCCCGATTCTTTATGTGTTCACAGATAGCCCCAATTTAATGTGAGAGATCCCAGATATCAGTTGACTCTGCTCCTTTGCTCTGTTCTGCTTGCACGCCATAAAGTATGCAACATAAATTTAACCATCGAATAGAACCACAGAACAACACACAAGTGGAGCTCTTTTGTTTGTTTGGTTTGGTTTCTTTTTTAATGCTACTCTGAAACAGCAGCATGAAATTCATTCGGGCCATAACTCTGGACTTGGTCAGTGCGCACATTTGGGTAAACAAGTTGGCCCCAAAACGCTGCTGGAAAAACGCTAAAGCCAAGGAGAGAAAAAAAGGGGAACAAAAGGAATTGTGGCCCGTGGAGAGAGAGAGAGAGAGAGAGAGAGAGAGGGAGAGAGATTAAGCAGCGCAGACAAGCCGCAAGCCCACTGGCGACAAGCAAAATATAACAACAAAATACTGCTACTAAAACTAAGACTAGAGAAAAATGGAAAAAAAAACAAACTAAGTAGATCTAGACGGAGCGATAAGAAAACTGGAAGCCAGGCACACATAGTACACCCCGCGTGGCCTCGTATTCTCCTCTACATGGTCGAGGCACACAAATGAACCATTAAACAGCAAAATCATAAAAATCAAGAGCCATAAAGAAGTCGTCGAAGGAGCGCCAGGCCAGCCTCGCCACAAAACGCAGCAGGAGATGCCCCGAGTCGTCGCCAGTTGCAAGTTGCAAGTTGCCAGTTGCCAGTTAGCTGCCTGCTGCAACATTTGAGAGTTTGCTTCCAAGAGTTGCGTTAACTGTAAGCAGATGGCAGCCAGCGATAGATGACGAGGCAGTGCAGCAAGAGGAGGAGGAGACAGAGCTGCCTCGAGTCTCGAGTCTCGAGTCTCCCCATGCTGGCGCACGCGTCGTCGCTGACGGTGCAATGACAAATTGCACTATTGGACGCGGAGGAGGCGGCTGGGAATCAGTGGCTCGGGTGGAGGATCTAGAGTAGCGGCATGGCCGCCTGCCTCTGGGCCAAGTGAGGGTGCAAGATGCGCGGCTACGGCCCGCTGGAGTATACATATCGACGAGGCTAGTGCTTAAGTCCAAGGTCTTTTGCCATAACTCAGCGCCAAAGATGATGTGCAGTCTACGAAGGGAGAGGCGCTGCAGCAGAAAAATGAGCGACGAATGCCGATCCAAAGCGAAGAGTGAGTACTCTTTCGGGTGATGAAATCTACACAGAAAACAGAAAACTTTGATGCAGCTCAACCTTCTCATATCTAAAATGCCCAAGTAAATGTTAGGGTAAAAATATAAAAATCTCTCAAAATAATTGCACCCAAGTGCAGCCGGTTGCTGTCGCTGCTGCAGCTCAATCCCAGTGTGGAGAGGGAAGGGTGAGAGAGAGAGAGGGGGAGCCATGGCAGCGACATGACTTTGCTTGACGATAAGATCATGGCAAATATTGACGACGACCGAGACGGACATGGACATGGAGATGGAGATGGAGATGGAGATGGCGATGCCGATGACGATGGAGAAGGCGAACGGCAATGGCAACGGCAACGGCGTTGACAATGAAGTCCGACAGAGTCATGTATGGGTGCAACAACAACATGCAACATGCAACACAGCGGCAACTACTTGCGCCCCATTGATTTAGACTGGCAATTATGCAGCCAAAGATCGTCGGAGTTGTCCTGTTGCTGCTGCTGCATGTTCGGCAATTGATGAGGCTGAGGATGTGGCACTGGCACTGGCAGTGGCGTCCATGTGGAAATGGAGCAGCGACCCATATGCAACTTTAGCGGCGAATGAACACCGACATCGTCGGTCGTCGGTCGTCGGTCGCAGCTTCAGCTTCATCTGCATTTCTTGGCGTCATCTTGTGGTACCCTTTAAAACGGGGTATGATGGGTGTGAGATAAAGTTTGGCAACACTGCAGGCATAGAGTAAGGATCCGTTTCTTTTCTTGACACTTATTTTGAAGAAGAAGCTCATAAATTTTCACCTGAAATATTATTGCTTTGCATCTTATTGGGCATATAAAGATGCAACCCCTTCCAGCCAGCATTCCTCTTCTTTTTTTTTGTTTTACTCTTTGTTGTAGTCGCTGTCTGTGTCTGGCGCGGGCCGTAAACTTGTTTGCCCCCACCGAATCGGTATCGACATTGCACTCCCGTTCCCCTTTCCCCTTTCAGACGACGACATTTTAAAATTTTCAATTCGTGTTGTTGTCTGCACAAGGAAGAGAGAGACAGAGAGGAGCGGCAAAGACAGCGCCAAAAACAGCAACAAAGTAGTACCCAAGTCTTGGCGAAAGAAACAACAACAAAAAAACAGAGCCAACTATTGTCAAGAGCCTCGAAGCATGACCATGACATACCCAGGCATCTCTTGGCCAAGTCTTTGGGACTCTACTCCTACTGCAGCTCCAGCATTTTAGCAGCAATGCAGTCAGACAGTCGGAGACGGCGGATTATTTGAAAGAGTTGCTCAACTTTTTTTGTTTTGATCTTCTTTTTGTTTTGTTTTTCTTTGAATTAAAGTGCATCTCGAGGTGGTTGGGAGCCTCTCGACAGCAGTAATACCTTGTACTTGAAGGGTTCTCATGGTGGACCATAGATTAAAAGTGTATCTGTTAGTTTTTTCGGTTAAAGTAGTTGGTCTGAGAAACATGGCAACCAATGTGTAGCAACACCAAGAGCTTCATTCGTTACCTGTCGGAGATTATGTAAATGTAGGGCATTAAAAGCTGTCGAGTCAAGCATCAAAATGAATGGCAATAAGCAAATAAAAGCAAAAACAAATCATCTACGCAGCAACGTAAGGTCCCGTTAATTATTTGTTATGCTTTACACTAGGGTGCGAATGTGCATAGAGAGTGCTTGGGGCCGGAGCGCGAGAGTGTGAGTTGTTATTGTTGCAGAGAGAGAGCGATCGAAATAAGTGCGGAGAGAGACGCGAGCATGCTGCTGGAGATATGTGTGCATGTATGTTCTGTGCATTGTGCGTACGGGAGAGAGTATTAGCACGATTGAAAGAAGAAGAGAACCATAAATTGCGACTCAATAAATGCATCGTATACATTGCATCTCTTATCGGGCTGGTTTTGATGTGTACAAACATACAAACATTTGCATGTGGAATCGAATAAGTAGAAGCTGCTGGCTCTCTCCCATTAATACATATTCATATTTCTTTTTATTTCTCTCTTAAAGTAATGCACCTGATTTTGCATTTGACACACCCTCCTCTTTCCACACTTTTGCAGACTCTTTCGTTCCTCTGCCATCTCCATGTAAAATCTTCAAAGTTAATGACTAATTTAATTAAATAGCATAATACTAGTAATCATCATCAGCGCAGCACTGAAAAACAGTAAAAACTGAGATGGAAATGCAAAAAGAAATAAAAATAAATTGAACAAAAAAAGTGGGCAGGAAAAATGTGCATTTAGAAAAATATTTAAATCAACTTTAATGAAGTCGAAAACAAATTCCAACGCTAGTGTCCGCTCTGTTGAATTTTCATTCGCTTTTCTTTTGCTTTTCTTTTTTTTTCCATAATTAATGAGGAAAAGGAACGAAATTCCGAATCGAAACACAACACATAAATGAAACTAAAACTGCGCGTAAAATAAATAAATAAAAAAAACCAAAGGTCTTGACTACTAATTCATGTTGGGGGTCGCTTCTTTAACAGGGGAATTAGTGTTGCGCGTTGCACGTTGCATGAGGCTGGGAGCGGCTCTAAGACTAAATATTTCCATGCTTTAAGCTCTGGGGCAGGCACTACTCTGCAATTTCTCTGTCCAATTAGCGTGCGACGTTTTGAGTGATGGCACAAAGTCAGACAATGCGCAGGCGCAACAGCCACAGCCACAGCAGCAGCCTCTAGAACGTATTCCGCCTCCTCCCCCCAGTTGGATGCTAATGTTATGCAGAGAGAGAGATGGATAGATGGAGAAGGGGCACAGCAAATTGCAACATTGCATTGCATTTTTATGACAGCTGCCGTGCAATATTTTTGAAATTTACGAGTGTGGCCGCAGCACAGCCTTTGGCCCAGCTTCTGCTTCTGCTTTGAAGCTTCTGCTCCTCTAATCAAGCACTCCATTGTGGTGCTCC